TTTTTTTTTTTTAAGCTCTTTTCATGCTGAATGACTTATTTACAAGACAGTAATAAGTACATCTCTGGTAAACACAATAAGTCTTACTTCTCCACTGTGAACCACAATTATAAACTACTGAACTTCTTTATTTTCAAGATAGATTTACTATATTATATTAATATGTAGTTTTTTTTCAAACAAACAGGAGGAAATAGTGCATGCGTTGGGGACTAGGAAGGAACATGTCACCCAGTGCACCACTGAGGCTCTTTGATGTGTTTTTAATGGAGCTCTATGTCTCAGAGGAAGAAGAGAGATCATCTTTCTGACGGCATCAATTTAGAGAACCAATACCATTTTTCTCTCGTAACGTTTTTTTGCCTTCTTTCCATTGCACTGTGCCGTAGCTGTGACTCACCAGTATGATACCAGCTCTGGCTGTGGCGAACTGGAACAGGATCCATTCATAAGTGTTGGGTCCCCATATGCCGAGGCGGTCTCCTTTCTGCAGTCCAAGAGCCAGCAGCCCCGCTGCAGCCTGATCCACCTACGGACACATGAACAGGTTCAACATGTTTGTTGAAAAGAAGGTAACAGAATTACAGCACGCAGAGTTTCCTTCAAGCAACACACCTCCAACCTAACAAATAAAGGAAAGCACAGCAGCAGCAGTTATCAGAGTCTTCCTACTGACGCTGGACAGTTTCTCAGTGCTCGCACAATAAATGGCAACATACAAATAATGTAAATAAAGAGTATATCGATATAATGCTAGCCTCACCCTGGTCCTCTCTGGGAGCCAACACCGACACCACGCTGCTGGAGACCCAGGACATATTGCTGGACTCGCTGGAGGGAAGGGAGGCACGGGAGAACCAGAACCAGGACTGAGAGGGGCAGACTGTAAGACCCTGCTGCAGTAATGAGAGGTTTTCTAAAGAGACTCTGGTGCTCAGAGACACTACTCCAGAGGGAAAACCAAATTCAAGATCAAAGTTCCTCTCAGCAGCTACTAGATTACCGATAAATATTTATACATAGATATATTTATAGATGGCTAGTTGGATAGATGTAAAGTATCATGTTGTATTTAGCATATAAATAATAATACAGCAGAGCCCATTTATCAGATGACAGCTGATATCTGAGCGCTGTTTACTCTTTGTGCAGGTTGACGACACCAAACTGATGACGATTCCCCTTTGACTGTGTGAAAGTTTACAGACTGAACACGACTGTGCATGCAGGTGACTCTCAAGCAGCACTTTGTTTTACACGTCATTGCATTTCTGTGAAAAAACGGCACACTGGAAGCTCCAATATTCCTTTAACCTACAGCAGACACAGTCAGCTGTAACATATAGAATATGTCTGAGGACAATAAATAATGTCTAAAGACAGTTGGGCTTTTTGTAAAGTAATGAAATATAGATTATATTTCTGTCTTTCTTGTTTGTCTATTATAAAAGACAATTATAAAATATTCGTCAAAGAAAATTACAAAACTAAAAAGTAGTAAAAGGAGTATCTGTGTGTTACTTCAGAGTAATGATTGTCTAACTATGTATAGAATGAGTTGTTAAGTTAATTACTGACAGGAGTGTTTCCACTGGTGTGAGGGTGACATGGCATTTATCTCCCACCACACTTTTACAATCAGTTTGAGTTTATGTCTTTAAACAGAGTCCTCTCACCGTCAACCTGCCAAAATCCAGCTCTCATTGATGAAAAAGAAAAAAATAATGTTGGTGTACTCTTCTAGGTTAATTGTCACTGTAGGTGACAGCAATGAGCTTAATGAGCAGCAGCAAGGTATTATTATTAATACTACTATCATTTTTTTGGCCTTCATTTTGCCTCTCCGGCTTCGTCCAGGCTTACGGAACCCTTTGATCGATGGAGCTTAATAGGATCAGATGAAATGAGTAAAAATCCTTAAATTACATTTGATTTATATTATGACATTCACCTAGAATAATTACATAATTTCAATCAACGGACACAATTAAGTAAAGATGTAAATAAAAGGACCCTTCCAATAAATGGGATTAAGGATTTGGGTTTAGAAAACATGGATGTTATTAATTAAAGCCTCCTCAAAATCAAAAATGTTTAGTCTCCTTGTGAGAGATCTGATACTTCAAACTTTCTCTCACTTTATATGGATGTAAAGCAATATGTGGGTTAGCAACAATAGCTTTCTGTATTTCATTTGGATTCGCAAAATACAAAAATTGTTAAAACAGACAGTCAGAGGCTACAGAATAAGAATAAGAATTAATGTTCCTCCCAGGACTTTCACGTTTAGCTTCAAGAGCCAAGTTTAAAGTTTTGGACCATTCGTAAAAAACATGCAAACATGGCTGCAATTTATAGGTTTGCGTGTAGGCTTTCCAACGTCCAACCTCGACCAATCAACATTGCCAGATTGACATTCATCAGTTGGAGCTGGAGGTTACACACTGACTGTGGACACACAGTGTACTTTGAGTAGAAAAGGCTTACATCCTGCTGAAGCTGTGCAAAGGTCTTGCGGACTCCGTCTTGTAGGAAGATCACGGCCTCTCGGTCGGGCCAGCGCTCCACGGTCTGCAACAGGGACTCTCCAATGGTGGTGTGGAGCAGAGATGTGGAAGATGTGCCGTGGGCGTAGCTGGTGGTGAGAGTCGGGATGATGGGTGGAGATTCCACATGAATGCCACTGCAGGAAAACAGGAGTTAGATGCATTCAGACAGTGGCAGCCGGTTGGCACAAGTCATATAAAAGTTCTAAATATGCGTGCAGAGGCAGGAAACCACAGCATACTGTAGCAGTGTGGAGTACCTCAACACTTTTTGATCACGTAGATGACATGTAGATTCGTAGATAAAAGTAAATGAAATTACTGAATTTTAAAAAGCTGAATTAAATTACCATTTATAATTACTTTTTTGTCATTTCTGCACAACAAAAGACTTAAAAGATTATCAACAAAAAGTTGCCAATTAATTTTCTGCAATTAATTAATCAATGAATCCACTTAGTGTTCAGGCTCTACCCGCATAAACTGTTGGGTAGAGCAATTTTGGGGTCTTGCTCAAGGACACATCGACATGCGGCTAGTGGAACCGCGGAACCAACCACCGATCCTCTGAAGGTCGGCCCTGCTCTCCACTTAGCCACAGTAGTTTAATTTACAACAAAATATCACATTTTATAAAACTCTTTTGAAAATCTTAATTGTAAAAACAACTAAAGCTGTCAGATAAATATAGCGGAGTACAAATTACAATATTGCCCTCTGAGATGTAGTGGAGCAGAAGTAGAATGAAAAGAGAATACTCAAGTAAAGTACAAGTACCTCACATTTGTACTTAAGAACAATACTGAGTTCACTTATTGTTGAAGGCATAAAGAGAATGCAAGGGCTGTAGACATCAATCTAAACATCTGCACAATAGCCTGGCTATAACATGTAAGCACTATATATATCTATGTACTGTATATACATACGTACATACAGGTCTATATAGTCTTGTGTTGGACCTCACACCACCCTACAGGGGTCTCTTTAGTGTCCCGTTCCTTCCGCCTCTCAAAGCGCTTTTCTATTCGAATATTTTTGTTATTTATATGATTTGCACACAAACACAGCAGAGGAATAGCTGTTAAACATAATGCACAGTCGAGATTGTGCAATACTGATCATGGGTTTGTAGAATAAAAATATTTTTAATCAATCATGTGATCTTATCCAAGCTGCTGTTACATAATCAAAACGTGACCGACCAACGGATGAACTTTATATGTTTTTAAGGAATACCTTAAATATCCAGTATAAGTTGCCTCTGCAGCCATGTGGACTTTAGTTATAAACTAAAGTGGTCTCGACTCAACATAATTCCCTTTTCTCATTTATTGCATGATACATATTGTATGTGACTCACCGACTCGCTGCAGATAAGCCTGGATGATGCGTCCATGGTCTCTGCAGAAGTCCTAAAGATCTGGAAAAGACACAGCTGCTCCGAAGAGACTGGGAGCTCAGCACAATCCTAACGATCATTGTGTTTCGCTGCAGCTCACCACGAACCTGCACACAAAAGCTTCAGATTGTTCAAATAAAGTCAAGGAAAACTCAAAATTTAACTGCGGGCAATGCACAGTTGTTATAGTAGAGTGGAGCTCCTTCCTCGGACTTTGATCCGCCCCCTCCAGCGTGGACAGAATAGTTTTCTCTGCGCCTCCAGCCCCGTCCCACTGTGGTAAAGTCATGCCTCACGTTGCGTTGCGATGCGTGTTTATACCAGGCATTACGGTAAGAACTGACTTGAAGATAAGGTCACAAGCATAGTTCACATTTATTCAATAAGTCAGTCTGTCAATGATGAATAAATGAACGAAAAAGGAAACAAATAAATACATAAAGGAAGCAAAATGGAGATTGAAACAAAATCAAATCATCACGAATCACGAGTCATGCACTGCAAGAAAGACGTCATTTAGATTCACCCTCTTATTAATAACCCAAATCCAGACATGTTTTAACACATACAAATACTCTAACTAGTTAAACATTTAAATTACCTAACTATCCAAATTATCCGAACACTTAATGTCAACCATCCAAAATTCTAAACGCTATCCTTTTATTTTGTTATAGTCTTTTATTGTGTTTATTGAAATGAATCACACAATTCAAAATGCTTAGGAAATAAAAGATTGTATTTTCATTTAAATATTTGCATTGATAAAAAAAACACTTTGGGTATTAGCAGATATTATAAGCTGCTTATAGATACCTAAAGGAAGTTAAACAGGTCAAATCTCTAATGTCTTTTGTATTAATGTGAAAACATCTTCAAACAGCTGGATTTATTCACATCTCTAGCAGAAAACAAAATTTTACAAGATTACCTTTGAACACATCATGATAAAGTTATAATTTATCATACAGCTTGATTACATCAAAATGTAACTTAATGCAGCCTCCTATAGGACCATGTGTAGCTAACAGCTAACGCTAACTAGCTCTCCTCCTGCACATTAACATTTTACTCAAGTAAAAGTGCAAAATATCATAAAAGTAAGTATCTAAATCCGTAGCGGAGGAATCTTTATTTTTGAAACACTGGTGACAAAAAACAAACATATTTTTCTTCTCAAATGAAACTTGAATTCATAAACAAAAGCAAATCCTGCTTCTATTAAATACACTTGATGGTGCGGCTACTTGGTCTGGTCAGTAGATAACCGTAGCTGGACTATTAGCTGATATTAATGATTCTTCTATGTTCTAGCAGTTAGAATTACGAGACAACACTCGTTGCAGCTAAAACTCGTGTAGAAAACAGTAAAACTTAATTTATCGAGCTTTACTGAACAGCTCCTCCTTCAAACGGTGGTACCGCCCCCTCTTGGCCATGAGTTCTCGGTTCGTCCCCTCCTCCACGACGGCTCCCTTCTCTATGAAGACGATGTGATCCGCCTTCTCTACAGTCTTCAGCTGATGAGCCACCACCAGGACCGTCCGACCGCGAGCCAGAACCTCCTGCAGCACCTGAGCCCACGAAGCCCGACAGAGAAAGACACAGTTACTGGCTGAGGATGACGGCGATGTTAAAACGCTATTATTAAACACAGAGTCGTCCTCCTCTCGTCCCACCGTGACTGTGTCTTCTTTACTTACAGCATGCTGCACTTCCACATCCAGTTTGCTGGTGGCCTCGTCCAGTATGATGACCTGCGGCTCTCGAACCAGAGCTCTGATGATGGCGATGCACTGCTTCTGTCCTTCTGAAAGCGCTCCACCACATTCCCCGACATCTGTGGAGACCAACACACGGAAATAGAGATTATTCAGATAATAAAAACCGTCAATCATTACTGAAATATCACCCGTTACACCAGTGTCTCCCAAAGTTGTTTTCTGCCGAGCAACTTGACAAACCATAGTGACCCAATTCACAACAGGCCTCATCTATAAATCTATAAATCATAACATGAGCGTGTTCAGTGTTCCTGAACCATTTTTACTGACATTCCACATCAACTCATATGATCTTGAATAGGTAAACCAGGCATTTAGAAGAGATATATACGTTATATGTTAAATGCATTTAGGAGGAGTTAACGGGCTATCTCATTCTTTTCATTCCCTCTCATCATGTAAACAAACAAAATGAACGTTAGCGTTTCATATTAAATAAAATGTTATAAGTAGAACACTACGAACATTCCGACTGGCTCAAAGTAGTACTGCAGATATAAATGTTAAATTAAAGACTATTTATTAGAGCGACCCTAAATAAATGTGCTGCGACCCACCGGTGGGTCCCGACCCAGTGTTTTGCAGCGAGTGCATTACAAAGTACACGCCGGTGCAAGTTTTATCAACACAAAATGCATCTGCAGAAAGATTTCTTGTTTCTTTATGTCATCACTTCTATCCTACATTCACGGACTTGTGTATCTTCACTGTCGATTATGGCAGCTGTTCTATTTTAAGTTGAACCTACAATGTTGATTCAAAATAAACTTTATTTTCTTTTTACATTACTTCAATAAAAAGCCGGTGCCTCACCTCTCTGCCCTCATACTATGGTACAAATACATACATAAGAATAACATACTACGACTGCATCAAACGGAATATTAAAACAACACAAAGGCACCTTAGTGGCATTAAATGAACAATAAAGACAACAATAAAACAACATTAGACACTTAACCTCACACTTAATAGCATGAAAAAACAATTAAATGTGCTTTATGTCTGTATTTACAGGATATCTATCTTTTGTATATCGATGCATCCTTCCACACATCTGTACCTGTGTCGTATTGGTTCTCCATTTCAGAGATGAAGTCGTCTGCGTTGGCTTTCTTTGCAGCTTCCCTCACCTTCTCGATGGTGCAGTCCCGCAGGCCGTACTCTATGTTGTATCTCAGTGAACCAGAAAACAGCACAGGATTCTGGGATACAAGGGCCATCTAGATACATGGAGTTCAAACACACACCTGTGTTAGTGCAGTGCTGGTTGAAAGGATTTCATTTATGGTGTGCTTTGGGTTCAAATATATTTAATGTTTGTTTGATTAGAAAGTTGAAAAAAAGCCTGTATGCTATGACTTGTGTTAGGTTTTGGGGTGTAAAAAGGTACTTCAGTAAATAAACTTCACTTTCTTGAAACCATCTAAGCAAAAAAAAAAAAAAAAAGCCGCGGGCTGCAGCGCCTTTATGCTCTCCCCTCATTGGGAACAATTGAAAAGACAAAAGACGCTACGTGAACAAGATGCTATGTGAAAAAGACGCTATGTGGGCCCTTAAGCCTCCTTCCACTGAGCCACCGGTACCTTTTGATGGAGGTATTTGTGTTTGTAACGGTGCAGCGGCTCTCCGTCCAGCAGGATCTGTCCCTCTTGAGGCTCGTACAGCCTCTTCAGGAGGCCGACACAGGAACTCTTTCCCCCGCCGGAGGGACCCACCAGGGCTGTCATCTTCCCCGGCTGAAGCTCCATAGAAACGGACTGCACAGAATCACCAATCACGAGGATTTGGATTATTGTTTAATCTAGATATATTGATGCTGTCGAACCGCAAACTATAACTCTCGGTTACCTTCAGAGCTGGTTTGTCTTCGGGAGCTGAGGGGTATGTGAAGGTGACGTTTTGGAAAACAATTCTCCCCTCCAGCCTCTCAGGAGCTAACTGTCCCTCCTTCTTCCACTTTGGTGTTTTGTCAAGATAACTGAAGACTTTGGAGATGACGCCAACCGTCGACATCGTCTCTCTGTAGCAATACATAATCTCCTGTGATGAAAACAAGTCATCTTCATCAACAACAGGCATCGTATACTTAAATATGGGATGTATTTGTACCTCCGCTCACCTTTAAATTATTTGACATGGGCTTCTGGTACAAGAAGAAGGACACGAGGCTGCCGATGCTGAGCTGACCCGACGAGATGAGAGCGCGGGCCTGAACCAGCATCAGTATCTTTATCCCCAGACTCACCAGCTGCAGGAAACACAGAGAGGAAGCACTCACTTTGTAGTTTAACTTAAAACATTTTAAAAACATTTCAAGCACCAGAAATCACACATGCAACTAAAAACATGTTTGTTTTTTAACATTATTGGAGCAGCATATACGGTCCTGCTAGGAAAAGAAAATAGATGAAATGTTAGAGAAGACAACTACAAAAATACTCAAATATTATGAGATACTATGTCACAGTTTTGACTTAATAAGTTAAAGCCTTGACTTGTTATCTCATAGTTTTATATTACAGTACTTACTATTATTATTATTATTTTATATTATACTCGTATGGTCCTTGGATGTAGACCTCTGCCCTCTTACCCTCCGTACTAACAGGAAGACGGCGCTGTAGACTCCCGAACGCGTCTTCACGGCGCACATGCAGTCCAGAGCCTCGTTGTACCTCCTCAGCTCGTCTTTCTCTGCCTTGAAGCTGCGGACCGTGCGGATCCCGCCGATCGTCTGGTGAGCCAGGTCCTTGTTCTGAGCGTGGCAGTCCTGGATCTGGTCCTTCAGCTCCTGTTTGACAAAGACAGGAGACCACACATGAGCAGACTGATGCTGCAGTCGACACCTCGTCACAGTCTATCTAAAGTAGTCCAGGGGTCAGTCTCGTCACACCTACCTGAGACATGGTGATGTATTTCTTCTGCATGATGGCCAACAGTGGCATCTCCATGCAGGTGAGCACCGTGAGCTCCCAGGACAGGTTCAACATCACTGTGAGCATGAGGCCGCTTTTCACCGTGCTGCGAACCAGCGCGTTGGAGTTCAGCGCAACGGTGCGGCCCATCCGGTCCACATCCGAGTGCAGGCGGGAGGACAGACGTCCTGAGGGAAGGGGAAGGGGACAAAAGGCACTTTTTTGAGTTAGAGATTGGAAAAAACAGACATGGTGTGTGTTTACTGACAGCAGGACAGAGAGCAGGACTCTGTGTTTACATCATGATGCTTGGTGCTCAAACATTACTCAAAGCAGACGGACAATGTTATCTTTCTCATGTTTAATTCTTAATGTGAAGATGTCGGCCATATTATCTGCCCAGAGAATTGTTTTTGTTGCTGCTGTTTACATTCCTTATGATGCAAATTTAAAAAATGTGTTTGTTGTTGTTAGAAATGGGCTACAACTGAATTTCATTACGCATATATGGGTTGCATAATGACAATAAATGATCCTTGAACCCTTGAATTTCTCACCAGGGTTGTTCTCCTCAAAGAAGTGCACCTCCTGCTGCAGAAGGGTGTGAAACAGCAGATGCTTCAGTCTCTTGTTCAGTCTGGCCAGCGTGCACATAAATATTCCTCCTCTTAAGCCGGAGAACAGAGAGCTGTCAAGATAAGAGACATTAAAAATGATTATTTTATCAAATCCCTTAAACAAATCACATCTTTGCAATCACACAGGTGATTAGTAATCGTTGCATTTCATTACCTTCCAAGAGAGACGAGAGCCAGCTGTCCAATAGCATAACAGAAGCTGGTTTGAAGGACTGGACCTCTGTGCATATCGATGACCTTCCCCTGATACAATGGGATGAATGTATCACCTGTCAGGAAAGAGGAACATATTAGGAATACAGGAAATTATATACACCATGGTTCTGTGGTGTACGTCCTAATTTCAATAATAACCTTAATAATAATTGTGTGCCGTAGAATGTCCATATTTCACTTACAGATGACACCTAAGATGAGGAAACTGAAAGCTGCGATCAGGTAAAAGGTGTCTGGTTTGAAGTATTTCAGCATCCTCACAAGCAGCCGCTTGGTATCCAGTTTGACGTCGTCCTTTGTCAGTTCTGAACCACCACAGAGGTACTTTTCCCAAACCACGCAGGCCAGCGATGCGGACACGGGGCCCAGGAGCAGCATGCCGAGGTCAGGAGACGGTCCCGTGTGAGGCGTCAGGAGGACACGTCCACTTTCAAAGACGGGAGAGAGGAGGCAGAGGAGCGCCACCAGCCTGCGGAGCACAGCCTCCGGCCTCCCGTCAGTCAGCGTGACGGCGAAAACATGGAGAACGGCCCACTTCACGGCCCCGAAGGCCCACACACCTGGCAGCCCACCGCAGCCGGAGCTCTTCAGCTGCACCAGTCCGACCCACAGTCCCAAACAAAGCACCGCGTCGAAAATAAGAATGAATAACCCACGAGCTGCCACGTCCTCCATTTTCCTTTGGTGGACGACGAGACTGCAGGACGTTGAATCTGACAAAAGGAACGAGAAATGTTAGTTTACTGAAGCCTGTGGTGGGACGTAGAGAATTACATTTAATCAACTACTGTACTGAAGTACAATTTTGAGGTTCTTCTACTAAGGTATTTCCATTTTATGCAACTTTATAAGTCTTATAAGTCCATGTGTATGATACAATAAATAACATTACTAACTTATCATAAACAATGCATTACAAGTAAAGTACCGTAAAGGTCCTGCATACATAATTGTACTTCAGTAGAAGTACACAAGTATCAGGGAATAAAATATACCAAGTGTGAAAAGTAAAAGTACTCTGCAACCACATTATAATATTTATATTCTTTGTGTTTATTCAATATATAACAATACACCATATTTAAAAAACTGATGCTTCAAAGTACAGCTGTACAATATATGTAGTGGAGTAAAAATAAAAGTACAATAGTTCCTTCTGAAATGTAATGTAGTAGAAAAATAAAGTAGCATAAAATAGAAACATTCAAGTATATATAGCTCCAAGTTGTACTTAACTAAGTGCTTGAGTACATGAATACGAGTGTAAACCACAACACAAACACAGTACTTTAGTTAGTAGTCTGGTACAGTCTACTGATGGTAAAGTAACTAAGTACATGTACTCAAGTACTGTTCTTAGGTAGAATAGTAAGAAGTATAAAGTAACTAAATATATGTACTCAAGTACTGTACTTAGGTAGAATAGTAAGAAGTATAAAGTAACTAAATATATGTACTCAAGTACTGTACTTAGGTAGAATAGTAAGTAATAGTAAGTAGAAGTATAAAGTAACGTAAGTATAAAACAGACAAGTGGTTCGAGGTTGTACTTCATTAGTAAAAAGCACAAACGGTGACACAACATAAACATTGACTTCCCGTCTTTTCTGTTAGCAGTCTGGTGTGTAAATATGCATTCTGTTAACGTTAGAACGGTAACATTATGTTTTCCATGGCATGAATATGTAGCGTTAACAGCCTAAACACTCCTTTAACATTGAACGGTCGCTTCTGTCCTTGCTGCTGGTTAGCATTTAGCTAAACGAACCTGTCACGCATTAACACGTCCACGTGGTCCATGTTGAAATGATTTATCTTAATGACTTACGGTGCGTTTTCCCCCCTGAACCGTGTCCACTGTTAGCTAACTGTTAGCTGCAGACATGTATCTGTGTTACTTTCAGTTTCACTTTCACTTTGGTGACACGTTCACCTGTATCGACTCCGTGCACCTGAAAGAGGAGGACGCCACAGAGCAAACACGTGCCCTCCTCTTTTGGTTATTTTCCGTTTTTAGTTTTGATGGTTTGTAACCTCGACTCTTTGACGTCCTGTATTTAAAACTGCCTCAACGGCTGTCCGCCACAAGATGGCGGCAGTGTGCATCTTCATGAAGAAGCCCTCTTTCAAAACAGCCGTTGAAGAAGTACTCAAGATATGTTTAATACTAGTGAAAGTAGCAGTACCTCTGTGTAGAAATACTCTGTTACAAGTAAAAGTGCTGCATTCAAAATGTTACTTCAGTAAAATAATGAAACTTTACTTTAAGTATAATTTGTAGGTACTTGTACATGATTTGAGTATTTGAGTGCTGCTTTATTGCACTAGGTCTATTTAAAACAGTTACTCTGCAGATTAATGATACAAAACAAATAAATTAGGATATATTATAAAAGTTAAGATAAAATGACTAAAAACTAAAAGTGATGAAAACATCAATGCATCAATACTTCCAGTAATATAATATACATTATTCTGAAATGGGCCAATTCTGAAACTCTGCACAAAGTACTTTTAATTTTGATATTAAAATATATTTTGATGCTGACACTTTTACTTTAGTAGTTTAAATGCAGGCCTTTAATTTGTAACATAGTATACCCTGTAGTATTACTAATTTTAATCAAGTCAAAGATGTGAATACTTCTTCCACAAGTGCATATTAGAGTATACTGAATATTGTTGGACTGTAAGTATGGATGCATTCATGTGTTAATCCTTTTAATGTTGCAGCTGGTAAATGTGGAGCTCCTTTGATGTTTTTAATGAGAGCATGTACACGTGAAAATAAATAAAAACACAAAGACTTTGATATTCAAACATTTATTTCCCCCATCCCCCGATCATAATGTATAAATAAAGATTGTATTTAAAAAAAAGCTATAGTTTGGCCCAAAGCAAGACACGACCCTGAAAAGGACTAATAAATCCTCTCATTGCAGACACTTTACAGTTCATAACTGAAAACTGTGGATTTATTTTTCCGTCACATCCGACAGAAAACAATCGCTCTGTTCAATAATCGAAAGATAAGTCCGTCACATTAAACCTCTAATTGGGACTGAAGGTAAACTCAGGTACAGTGTCGTCTCCTCTGAAATACTCCGTGCTGCTGGCAACATGAAATCATCTGCTTCTATCCTCCTGAAAAGACTTTTCATTTCATCCTGTGGTAGTGAATGCACCAGCTCTACAAAAAGGCACTGTTCCATTAAGGAATGACAAGCGTGAGAAACATTTAAAAAAAAAAAAGTAGTAGTTATAAAGTATGTACATTCATTTTGTACAGTGAAAACAAACAGATTCAATGATCTAAAGCAACCAATACTCATCAACATGGGTGTAATGTGAAAAGGCCTACTGTAAAACTTCTTTAGTTATTGATATTAAAGGATAAGTCTGGAGATATTATATATGTTTCGCCCCCTGCTGGTCAGTAGAGAGACGTATACTTTAACTCTTAATCAAATGATTTCACCCATTTCTATGCTTGTTATTTCCTCACAACCACGTGGCCTACTATAAGCTCTTCGACAAAAGGAGCATGTGTGTAACTTGGCTTGACGATACAGATTGTGTGATCACAGAGATAAGATCAGCAGCATTTTTTTGCAATAAATAGTACAATCTTGTTGTAGCTGTAAGTGCACATCTGTTCATTTTGGATCTGACTTTGGTCAGACAGCACAAATGTGTTCACCGCGTTTGTTTCGACTTGCACCAGATGGCAGAAAAAAAGTAAAGTTTGCAACATCTGGTGCACCGAGACCCAAACATTAGGAGATATAATCTGCAAAAGCTGTCAGAGTCAGAGTGATGCGTGAGAGAGACGTTCAGATGGTGCTGATGTTCTCCGCCCCGTTGGACGAGGCCTTGTCTTTGTCTCCCTCTGTGGGGACGCTGCTGTACTGACAGCCGGGAGCCAAGTCCACGGAGGGCCTCGCCGGGCCGGGCAGCGTGGACGGTTGGCCCTGCTTTGACAACTTCCTGTCCTTCGAGTCCAGCCAGTAGAACGCCACTATGAGGAACACGGCGGCGGAGGCAACGATGGCACTGCAGACGAAGAAGACGTGGAAGTAGTGACCCGTCCTGTCGATCAGGACTCCTACAGAAACAAGAACACATTGTTAGATTCATGTTCCGTTTTTCTCTTGTTTTACTTTACAGGTCTTACGTTTCTCTAAAAAAAACTCCTCAAATGGAACTCATAAATTCATAGGAAGGTTTGTGTGTATATATGTATGTATGTGCAGGTGTATTTAGATATGTATTCACTACTTACTTAATTATTATTATTGCTGTTATTTTGATCATGTACCTTGTTTGTCGTTTTAAAGTGGTATTTATTTGAGGAAAAATGAATTAACTCTAATTGCTAGAGCAGTGGTTCCAAATCTGAGGAAAGCAGAATTGTGTGAATCCTTAGATGACTTGTGAAAATGGTTCAAATGAAGCAAGAGGGGGAAAATTTAATTAAAAAAATTAAAAATAAATATTTGGTTTAACGTGTCACAGCTGGAAGAGACACGCAACCAATCAAACATGTACATATTCCTTCAGCTTCAGGGGATCAGATGTCAAAACATTTGGGAATCACTGAGTGTTAGTTGGTGCACTTCAGGGGAATTTGTCTGCATGCAAATGTAGAATGGCCAAAGATTTGAAATGTAGTTTCACCCTTTCTCCCTCTTTTCCTACTTTATGATTAATAATACCAAATATTGATTTTGCAGGAAACTTTTAAAGGAATTATAATGAATTTACGGAACCAATAAAAAGGTGTAACTTTGCAAAAAAGTGTTTCTTTTTTTAGATTCAGTTGTGATCACATGGAGGAGCAAACCCAGTCAGACTCCTGTGTGACGGGATCTGGTTGAGACTTGTGGTTTCACTGCGGCCCGGCTGTCAGAAACCAGATAAACACGACGGTGCATAACCGTTATTTGAGACGAGGCCTCGTCTGACCTTTTCCCCGCTGAACTGAGACTCCAGAGTGAAGAGCAGACTCCGTACCTTTGTGTGAGCGTGGCGGCTGAACGGACTGAGAACATTGTGTTATTTACAGCGTTGGCCTCGAGCTCTCTATGTGATTTTACCGTTCACATAAAACACACAAGCACAAACATGGCTTTAAAGCACATGCAGAGACGCATACTGTTAAGAACATCTGCACACAATGTCTGTGACGTTTCTAATGTTCTTTGCATTCATTGGGGATTTGCACTGTATACAATATGCAGGTATCAATCCTTTTCTCATAAAGGCTGGGGGGGGGGGAGTTCACAGTGTTCACACAACAAAACCAGAGCAGCAACATATGTAATGTTGTGTATGTAATGTTGTGCATTCTCAACTAAAGGAAAACAAGATATTTGACTTTTTCTCTCACTTTCAAAGTGTTTTCAATGGGGACTCTGTTAGCAGTTTCATGTCAAATTCATAATTTCCTTTCGTACAAAACAGAAAAGTGCATTGACTTCTTGTTACCTGCCAGTGGAGGCCCGATGAGCAGCGTGACACTCTCCATGATGGCGAGCAGGCCCAGCGCCGAGGGGAAGCGGCTCATCTCCACCACGTCCATGAGGACGGTGTACATCAGGGAGCCCACCACGCTCATGGAGAGCCCGTAGACGGTCACGTACGCCAGCAGGAGATGGAAGTCGGGCCCGATGCAGCAGATGCTGTTACTGAGCCCGTTGACCAGCAGCGCCCAGGCAAAGACGTAGATGTGTCGCCCTTTGAACCAGGGCATGCTGAAGAGGACGCCAAAGGGCGGCCGCACCACGATGTTCACCAAACCCAGGATGGAGAGCAGCAGCGCGGCGCGGCTCTGCTCCATGTTGTTGGCCGTGGCATAGGGAACCAGGTAGATTAAGGGCACCACGAAGCCGAGCATCATCCAGGTGATGCCCACGGCGTACACACAGTAACGGGGGTTGTGGCACAGCTGGTCAAAGGCCATGTGTTTGCTCAGAGAAGCCACCAGGTAGCTCCACATCCGTCTCATCATCCCTCTCTCCTTCCTCTCGCTCTCCTCCTCAGGCGGAGGCGGTCCGTGGTTCATCAGCGGCTGGCCCCGGCGCTCGGGGGCCCGCAGGGGCCTCATCAACGCGCCGCACACGCAGCAGTTCAGCAGCACGGCGCCGAGAACGAGGAAGCTCCCCCTCCAGCCCAGCTCCGTGTGGAGGTAGTTACCCAGGATGGGCAGAGTGCACAGCCCCAGCGCCGTGCCCGTGGAGGACAAGGCGTTGGCGAACGCGCGGCGACGCACAAAGTAGTGGCCGAGGATCGTCACCGCAGGCTGGAAGCTGAAGCAGAAACCGAGTCCTGTGACCATGAAAGGAGACGTTCAGAGTGGGACGACAGGGGCAGCATTGCATTTACTGATTTGAAAGATTATGTATAGAAAACATGCACATATAGATGTTGCATTAATTGAATGACCAACTAACACACTTTCTCACATGGAGCAACATTAGCTTTCATGTTTTTGTCCCATTTTTCTGTTTTGGTCTCCACCAATCCTGAGAGAGCTGCTGGACGTCTCCAGCTGCTGTTTCGGTGGCAGGTTGCCGACAGTCGAATCATCCCGGGTAATAAATGAGCCGAATGTTTGCTGACCTGTGATAACCCCGGCGGTGATGTAGAGCTGCTCAACGGACTGGGTAAACGAACTGGCAGCCATTCCCAGCCCACTCAGGACGCCGCCCAACATGATTGTCGCCCGGCAACCGAGTCGCTCCACCAGCACGCTACAAAAGGGACCTGTGGATCAAACGTAATGCTCTTAGTGTTAATGCATACCGGAGCAGGAACCAGCACAGGGCTTACACCCGAGGCCTTGATCCTGCAGCACACAACTTGTGTTGAGCTGTAATCTGTACCAGCGCAATGAAAGCATGACTGAACATATGTTTGCTCTGTGTGTGTGTGTGTGAGAGAGAGAGAGAGAGAGAGTGAGATAGGTGTGTAACTGATGCATGGCAGTTGGCCGACCCATATAACTCTAATTCTGCAACGCCAGCAGGAAAATTTGCTGCATCGTTTCAGGGCAAATTCATTGGTTTCCCATCTCTACCGTCATCTGGCCTCATGATGCCTGAAGAGGAAGTTGCGTATTCTGAGGCCTTAGTGCTAAACGCATCGGGTATATTGGTTAAAAGGTCATCGAAGGGGGCACCGCCCTTCGTAGTTAGGAAACACTGAGGCTTATTTGATCCCGTTTGAATTGTGCCATGAATTTCACATATGATGTTTGTCAATTTCAAAGATTATTTTGCACGTCAACAAAGTTTTGTCGTAAAGCTGAAGTATCAGACTGTGAAAATACATCATTAGAAAGACGACACACCCAAAGAAGTGTCGTCTCTCTCTGAAGCTACGATGCGTTTCATACCAACATGTTCTCACGCCAACACGTCTTACTCCTTCTCTCTCCTCCTGGTCGATAAAAAGAGTCGCTGGATAATCGTTATTAAACTGTTAAAATAAATTGGTAAAAACTTGTATTATTTGGATCTATCCCTCCACCAAGATATCCACTTACACCTGAAAAAAACAACCAGTTTTTAATCCTTCCCACATAAAAGGACTCCTGGACTGAATTAGAGGGCTCGACTAACAACATTCCCTCCGGTTAGTGCGTTCAAGGGTTGGATATCCTGTCGTACCCTCACCACACCACACCACTCCACCGTTCCACTAGATTTAAGAGGAAATCGCTCCTTCTGCTTCAAACACAGAAACATGAAGGCATTCACCTCGATCCTCTAGATTGACTTTGTTTGCCTTTGCACAGCCAACACTACTCCCTGTTTAATGCAGGTTACATAACGCTCAGAAGAATGTGTGAAAGAGGAAGGAAGTGGACGTTATTGATGAGAGAGCGAGAGAGAGAGAGAGAGGGCCTCTTTGTGCACCACACTCAGGACTTGTGCGCTGACTAATGGATACAGGATCAGCAGACATTTGTGTCAATACGTTTGACACAATTGATGATCACCATGTTTTCAGTAATAGATATTCAGTGTATTTACGTTCTGTCCCATTCTTTTTGGTGTTTATACTATACTTTTAAAGTTTATACACTATTCGTCTGTGTAAATATAATCATTGTCAATATGAATTTGAGCAATGAATGAAGCAAATACTGTGCTTTTAAACCCTTAGAAAGTGAAACGTTCATATTTTACGTTTGCTAACATTAGCCACCAAAGCTACTGGTCGTACCAGAACAAGTTAGGCTGTAGCAGAAAACCCTCAGGGTATTAACCTATGAATATTAGCTTGGAACAATGGTGCGTTTCATTGTTCATGACTTCAACTTTTCTTCTGTAAAGGAGTCAATGTGCCATTTCATCTCTTAAAAATGACATAACGTCCCTTTAAAGTTTGCATAACCCTGAAGTCCTGATTTGTAGAACACTAAAGTCCCTGTGAGCTGTGGGTAACAAGCGAGCTACAGCTTCTCATGGAATAATCTTCTTTAAATCAACACCAACACAGCAAGACACTTTAAAGCCTGAACAAATCTCTCAGGTTTCACATTTTCCTCCAAACAACAGGTAGGAGCTAAAGTTACCCCAAAGTTAGGAGGCATCAAAGGGTAACTTAAATGTTACACACTGAATAACGTCAGCTAATAAAGACGTCACGGTAAATGAGGCGTGTACGGTATTTAAAGTTACACATTGACTAAACGGAGCCCAGTTGTCTACTTTACCTCCTGCGTGGAGCACTGACGTCATGATGGAGGGCACCCAGGAGGTCTCGCTGTTGGAGGCGTGGAACTCATTCTGCAGGTCGGTGTAGAAGATTCCCACGCAGGAGGGGAACGCCAGGGTCAGAGCCAGGACTATGATGGTGGCAGCCAGCACCACCCAGCCCCAACCGCCATCTGGAGCCGTGACTGCGCCCGTTGCGGCCGCCGGGTCTCCGCATTCACCTCGCTGCATAATCCCCTCCTCGGATTCACAGTCGTTGGCCTCTTGAACTTTCTCCATACTGTCGGCGCGCTCGAGGTCCCCGAAGGCCTCCGGTCGGCGGCAGCCATCGCTCGTCCCTCTGATTCCATCGGCCTGAGTCATTTTCTGCTCTGCAGTTCAGAGGAGGCAGCTGCGTTGGCTCTGCAGGGTGTATGTTTACCTCTGCTGCCCATGTCACTGTAGCTGCTGCAACCTTCAGGGACACCTAAAGCAACAAAGGAAACAATCCATCAGGTTGTGCAGAATATTGAAGAAAAGTTTCTCTCAGGTCCAGTTCTGTGGCTGGTTCAGATGAGTTTCATTCACCACGCAGTGGAAACAAAAGTTCACAACAAAGCTGAAGAATTCTCTCTAACCAGTGAGCTCTGGTTAGGGTTATATTCAGGGTTACAGGACAGAGCAGTTGAACTAAAGGTGTGGGTTCAGCTAAGTAAACTATCAGCACCCAGGATGTGTATTCGTTGTCAGATCAGAGGCAAGGAAAGTTTATTTGTATAGTACATTTCAACAACAAGGCAATTCAAAGTGCTTCACATAAAACCATTAAAAGTATCTGCAGTCGTGGTAGTAGGGAGCTCTCTTGTGCAGAGAAATTGTTCCTGTCAGTCCCACATGTTTCACATAAACGAGTAAAACTGCTTTGTTTGTTATGTGTGACGACCCCTCCCTTCCACCGGGGGTCTGTGTCCTGTTTTCAGCTCGTCTTTCAGGACAATCTGCTGCTGATGAGCCACACCTGGGCCTGCTGTAGGTCCCAGCTATAAAGGCTGACCCTCTTCTTTGGCTGGGGGTCTCTCCTCTCTGACTCCTGTGTGGAGGAGCTTGCTGGCAGGCAGGCTGGCTGGCTGGCTGGCAGTTAGTTAGTTAGTTAGTTAGTTAGTTGTTCTTAAATAAATGTCTATTTGATTACTTTTATACTCGTCTTGTCTCCCTCATGTTGCGGCCTTTTGAGCCGGGTCGTGTAGATTCGTCCATTTGTAATGCAAAATGCCCACTTGCCCTAACTGTAGTCTGTTTGATGTCATCCGACATGTCTTCAATTTGCCTACTTATAGTGTAATTTGACAGAGGTATAGTTTTCAGTTTATCCGCTGCTGATTGATCCAACAAATGCTGCTTCAGTTTTGACGGCTTCATGCTTTCTTGTGCCAAAACCTCGCTGCACAAAACACACTGAGGTTTTTGCCCTCTTTTGTCCTCAATGTAAGAAAATCCATATCTCATGTAGTCTGTGTTGTACTTGCGTTACGCTCAATTAGCACATGAAAACAAACTGTGTGGGTGTTCTTCTATACTGTGAAATGGCGGGTGTCCATTAGCTTTACAAGGCATTAACGCCAAATACTGTTAAGGAGTGTGAATAACTCCGCTGCATAAAATATCCCCTTCAAAATAAAAAGGCAAAGGCCCGAGAGGCAGATTGGTGTTTGCTGGTAAAAAAACTAAAAGTTGAAATGTTGAAATGATTCAATTTGATCTCCAGCTGTAAAAAGAGAGCTCTCTGTAGAAGAGGCGTGTGCGGCACTGTGTTTGCCGGACGCCTGGATGTGGCCGTAAGCGAAAACTCGGAGCGCCCCGTGAATCTCTCAAGCTCAAGAGACTGTTGTGTGCTGATGATAAGAGACTGTTGTGCGCTGATGATAAAGAGACTGTTGTGTGCTGATGATAAGAGACTGTTGTGCGCTGATGATAAAGAGACTGTTGTGCGCTGATGATAAGAGACTGTTGTGCGCTGATGATAAGAGACTGTTGTGCGCTGATGATAAAGCGACTGTGTGCTGATGATAAGAGACTGTTGTGCGCTGATGATAAAGAGACTGTTGTGCGCTGATGATAAAGCGACTGTGTGCTGATGATAAAGCTATTTCTGCAAAAAAGGTTAAAGAACTCCATTGGGAGTGTGATACGCAGGTCCTAAAGTAAACCCTCTCAGGAGGCCTTCTCTGAGCTCGAGAGAAGTACAGAAGGACTGGCTTATATTTATATATATATAAATAAACTAGAATATAGGGAATCTGTTAAGAGTGGTTTCTGTCTTAGGCAGGAAGCTACGCTGACTAGAGACTCAGAAGTTTTGTGCAGAAATCTAGTGAGCAGGAAAAATAATATCTAACGAATAGACAATAGAATGACTGAGTTTGAAAGTGTGCACACGACTGTAACCTACTGATAAAGTAATACTATGAAGGAGAGATTGATAAAGGGAAGAGACATAACTCCCTATAAAAACCTTGAGTTGATAAGGGTGAAATAAAGTGGACATTTGTAACTGTCACAAGCAGACCAACAATAAGAATCTCTCTTTAACAAAGACTTGAGTACAAGCAATACAATTAAAGCTTACACATAGTCAAAGTCTGACATTAGAAAAAGAAGATGAGAAATAAAAACCTGAACTAAAACTGACTGACAGACTGAGACCGCTGATTATTAATGATTAGTACACCAGGGTGGCTTTGCTTGTTTGTTTGTTTTTGGTTGGTTACCCAGTGATAACGCTTTTGCAACAGGTTAACCAAGCCTCAAATAAGTTGTTACGGTAGAAGTTTCATCGTGATTTTATTAAGTTGCTCTGGTTACAAAGAGACTCTACAGTAGTACACAAGCTCAAAGCTTCCAAACCTTATATTTCAACTTGTCAATTAGAGTGTTTAAAGTTAGTAACACTAGTGTCGTAGATGTTGTATAATTGTAAAGCTTACAGTAGTTTTTTATTTTTCACTCTTTGTTAAAATATAGTAATTGATGGTAGAGTTGAACTGCTGTTTTTCATTCATTAACTTTTCTTATGTATCACAGGGAGCCAAACATGTAGTAAATGTATTTTAGTTGGCTTGATTAATGTGTTCAAAGTGAAATAAAAAATATATATATATAAATAAATATATATAGTTTGTTTCAATCCAACTGCATATATCCCGAGCTCTATTGTGTCCAGATCCTATTCTGTCTGCAGAGTTCATGCTCCGTGTACTTGGTGGTGGCAGGTCACCCAGATGTGTGTGCGTAAACTCAATTTAGGAGCCGGTATAAACTCTTGCACTACCTTTCTAGTGTATGATTGGCTGTACGCCCACGTGTTGGGGCCTTACAGGCTCGCTATCTCCGTACAGAGAGGAGTAGAGTTGTCATACATACAGACATTGATCATACATAGTTCCTAAATAATCAGAGGAAGAGTGTTGATGGAAAGGGGTTGTGGAGGTCACAGGAAGGATTGTTGGTTGCACTTGGTGCATTGCTGACCATCTCAGAATCGCACAGTGAAGATCACTGTGCGAGGGGTACTGAAAAGGTTAAAAAGACAATATAACATAATAAAAGCTATCCATTTATTTATCAGAATTAACAGCACAATAGCTGGACAGATGTGTCCTGGTTAACATGTAGTATTTAAAGAGAGTTTGGTATATCCATTCAAGTTGAACTGAGTCTTGACACGAGTGTTTTGAAGATACTGTAAACGACAAACTAGAGAAAATGGGTGAAAGTCAAAGTGAGTCTGAGCAGCTTGATGCCAAGGTCTTACCTCCAATATCAAAATATATGCGGGACAAAGATAATCAGACTACCAAACAATTGAAAGAATGGATAAAATGGGTTCCCTGAAAAAGGCAGTTTCAGCCTACAAAAATGTTATTAACTCAAAACTTGTTTAAAGCAAAAGGAGAAAGAGGAAGCAGAAATATATGGAATAATGTCGAAGGGAGAAAGAAAGAGATTAAGAAATAAAGGTCAGAAAGACACAAATAAGAAAACAGGGAACAGACAGATCAAATTGATAAAAAAGGAAAATATACTGCCGAACTTTGTTTTGTTTGTTTTGTTCGAGTCAGAGGGACATGGTGGAGTGGACCCCAGAGAGGGACCACCGACGCACACACATTAACACACAGAGGGTGAGTTAACTTTAGATTCTGACTATTTAGTGTAGTATAGACTATGACAAACACATACCGGATGTATTACAACAAAAATTAAGGTTTTAGAAAGTTACCACAAGACAAACACTATTAAAGGTAAAAATGTTCAGAATGTCACAGGCAGGCTGATTACGTGTATTAGATGAGGGATTGAGGAGGTGTTGTTTGGAGAAGGGAGAGAAGTGGAGAAGTTATATTTATTGTATTATTTACATTTGTTGGACAGAGAATGCTGCTGCTGTCTCTGTTTCTCTGTCTCCCAAACAATACAAGTGTTTAAGGGCAGATCACACATGTGTCCTTGGCATGAGGCCCAGGAATGGAGAGGATGTCTGACTGGCTGCACAGTCAGACCTACAGTATACTCACTGACCTCAGAAACACAGAGGATCCTGGTAAACTCTACAGAGATAAGGGTGATGTATACCAAACAAGAGGTACATCAATGTCACCAGTGAAAGGAATAACTCAACTTATGTATGATAAGAAAACACACCATGGTTTCAAATGTGTGATGTAAGACAGGTGAGGGGTGCTAGTGTTCACCCAAAATCCTGATCTGCCCAATTTCAAAATCTGATTTCCGCTCATGCAAGAATCAATATCCACTCAATCGAGATATTAATGGTATTACACCTGTTCTTGAGTCTTTATTGAAGGTTGGTATAATAATGTGTCGGTGCACGCACGAGCACCTCAAACTTTGGCTGCAAAAGGTCACAAGGCTATCCGTCCAAATTGCAATTTGCTCTCGATAAAGTTTCATATCTGGGACATGTGATCACAGCAGAGGGCAAAACCCTCCCTCCCAAAAGAATACAGACAATTCAAAATGTGCCTAAACCACAAACTAAGAAACAAATGATGAGCTTTTTAGGAATGACGTCATAGTATGACGGTGGATCCCAAACCACTCAGAAACAGAGGCATCCCTCTATCCATCATTCACGGTAAACATCTTTATGTGCATGAGAAACTGACCTGGACTCGACTGATGCCTTTAATGACAAAGATTTTAATCCTGCTACTCTTTTTCCTACTGCAGCAGATGGAGAGCCACATAACTGTGTTGTTTCTCCTGAACAGGTCTGCACACCGAGACCTGACCTCACAGACACGCCCACCAAATGCTGATTTACAACTGTTAGTGGACGGTTTGGCATCCCGCTTGCCAGACACGGGAGAAGGGTTGGTTGGGTTTTGCTTTAGTCTCATCATATGACACTCTGTGCAGCGGTATGTTGCCAGCATACTTTTCTGCTCAAGCTGCAGAACCTGTGGCTCTTACGGAAGGAAGCCTGTAAGCTTGCTGCCGATAAAATAGTTAACATCTACACAGACTCTTGCTACGCCTTTGGTGTAGTGCACCACTTTGGCACCTTGTGGAAACACAGAAGCGTTTGGAAATCATCCGGCAAGCCCATTTCTCACCACCGTCTCGTGGCCGACTTGCTAGAAGCCATACTGCTCCCTAAAAATGTCGGTGTTATGAAATGTGATGCTCACACCAACGCTTCTGATCCCATTTCAACAGGAATGCTGCAGAGGATGCTGCGACTGAGCAAGCAGATTTGTCAGGCTATTCTTTAGCTCACGAGACTTATGATGAGACTTATCCCTCACTTATGATGTTCAAGTATTGCAGACAATGGCTACCTCTGCAGAGAGAAAGTGTTGGGCCTCATCTGGTGCAATTCAAAAATTATGAATGGATAATGGCTTATTATTATTATTAAAATGTATTATGAGCCCAGACAACTGCCACATGAATTCTTCTATTGTTAAGCTAAACTAGCCCACAGCAGAGATAATTTGGCAAAAGGGGGAATATGTAATATATTGTAAAGGTAGATCCACATTTTGTACAGTTTTTAAATGTAAAAAAGAAATTTAATAAGAAATTAAATCTTATACTTTTACGTAAAATGTCCCATGCAGGTTATAATCCCTTTCTTTAACTGGTCCTAAAAATCTTGATGTATCATCAAAGCAAATAATAACAGCACGTAAATACAATTAGTATAAATATTTTGAACATTTTATCTCTTTTACACAAAATCAAATTCTTGTGAAAACATGATGATGTGATGAGCTGGCCCTCTATATTAGATCATTTAAATATCACTGTATTTAAATTAGTTGTTAACTGACATTAGGGAATGTAAGAGAACTGCAACAATAAATATTATTTATATATTTTATTAGGTTGTAATTTTAGAAAATACAACACGATGCGTTATTCACTGAAACAGCTGGCTGGATACAGCAAAGTATATCACTGTAGTGATTTGTCAGAGAATAACTAAGTAACATTCATCTGAACACCTCAGGATTTTAAAACTAGATTTTAAGTAACGGCGACGGAAGGCAGATCTCCAGCACCATGGCACACATTCCGTGGTCCGGGATGGTGGCCTAAGAGGTTCAATGTGTTTTCTGCTCTTCTGTGCAAGAATAATTGTGTTTCCTAATAATTGATGGATGAGAGACCATGGTAACTAAAGAACATACAACCAAATGCAGACAATTATATTGAGAGAACCAGCAGCCACCAAATTAAAGAAACGATTGTAAAACTATTTAGCCAAACATTGAATAACATGTGGTATGAATATGCCAAGTTCACAGTCCAGCAGCACAACGTTGTTCATCTAGAAAGGCCGATCCTGCAACATCAGACTTGTTTGCCTGACTGTTTTCCTCCCGTAGAACTACGAGAGTGACATTTCTGTGTAGTACTTATGTTTATTATTATTATAGCTTGCTATCTGAGAAACATGATCTCACAAAACAGCTAGTGCTTTCTTTTATTTTACTTGATAAAGGAATCAGTTGAATTGACAGTTGATTCTGAATGTATATAATGGTAATATAAATACTTGGATGATAGAATTTCTTACAAATTGTTTAAGTTGTTTGATTATTGTGTTATGAACCTCACTGATATGTTGTCTCTCTATAACAGTTCAACAGAGATGGAGGTCCGATGTCTGTGTTTCACCTCATCTCAGGAGATTTATTTTGCCATGCTGATGTTAGCATTCCCTAGCTACAACATGGAGTTGCTTAAAACTCACAAAAACAGCTAATGTTTTAACCTCATCGAGTATGTGATCATATGATGTGCATATGTAAACCATTTTTGCTATTTCGATAAATTGTAAATACTTTAATGGCCATAGGAATGGCCAGAGGGGGGAGGTGTTGTAGCAATTTATCATGTTCTGTTAGATATAACTTCTATCGCAGACGAGGCCATCCGAACTCATCCAATGTAACAACTACCAGTACTCCAACCTTGAGAGCCGTAAGAGCCCAGACGGTGGCTCAGCCGTCCTGGAGGAGAGCCAGAAACCATGAATCAGATGAGTACGATGCAACCACACATAATCCAACCCATGTTAGACCAGGACCTATGCCAGCATTGCCATTTAAGTCCAAACCAGCCTATCCAGTGTTCAGACAGCTGCACGCTAATGCACGTAGAAAGAGACGACTTCACACCATGTGAAAAGGGGAAGCGAGCACACAGCTGAGGCTGATGTCAGAATGAGCCAAATGTGGAATCAAAATCATGTTTATGATGTAGATGTGGAAATAAAAACATTGGCACTTCCTACATGTGGAGTTCAATGTGGACTCTGTATGGATCTCAAAAGAAACACGACTATGGAGATCGGTATCCTGAATATCAAGTGTGCAAATTACGATTTACACATCGCAAAATAAGCCTCCCACTAATTATAAAGCAGATCAATTGGAAGAGTATGAATGTTTTGCCAGTGGTGGATTTGCTACGGATGGGAAAAGGGTTGATGTCGGCAATACTACCGGTTACAGTAAGGTAACCTGTGGTGTCCTGGTTCCCACAGGCTAACATCACTCCTTCGTTCATTAGGAGACCGGTATGGTATGAAAACCCAATACCACGAGACCAAAGTTGTGAAAACGTAACTATGACCATTCCCACTCTTCATTTGTTAAGTAAACAAACAACAGACATAGCCGACATGTATTGAATGTCTTGTGAAAATGTTTTACTGAATATACTGTTGAAATGAAGAAGATTCGGGGTTTGAGGCAAGAGCTTAAGGAGAATGCTGGCAGGGGGGTGGTCATGGGATTGGGTAGACCAAATTTTGGGAAAATGGGGGTCTGTGTTGGTAAAAGCAGGCATTAGCGCATTAATAGTTTTAATTGTAGCTTTTCTATTGGCATGTTGCATCGTACCCATCCTGAGGAGGCAGTGCCAGAGGAGCATAGACAAACAGATGGGTGTCATGACAAATCTCCAACTGGCAGATGATGAACATGATGACGATTGAGCGAGGGACAAAGGCCCAGTTCACTCAAATAGTGGTTGGACGACCGGACCTGTTTCCCATTCCGGACTATCTGGAGGACTCAGATGACATGGAGGAAACAGGACTAGGAGGCACCTCAGCATAAAGACGAGAGCCTGAACTTTGTTGAAAGTACATACACGTCCAAAAAACACCACCTCACATGTTCTATTATCTTTCCAAACTGTTTCACTATAAATAGAATGTATTATCATCAGATATTTCTGCATTCACATATATTAAAAGTCATGATTCATATAGTCTATGTACTAGTATTATAGTGTAAATACATAGTTTGATCTAAGATGTTGCATCTAATGAATACCGATGTATTGTTCAATGTTTTGCAGAAACTAAAATGTGTGATGTATCAGTTAATATACGTTTGTAATCAAGAAGAGGTTCACTTCATGCCAGAAGGTGGTCGCTCGGCGGAGAAGGACCGTAAGGGAGTTTTTCCTGTAATGCAACCTGCAGGTTTTTTCGCCCTTATGTGAAAGTGAACCTTAGTATTGAGTGATGTTATTTGTATTATCTTACTAGCTCAAATGTTCTATAGTGGTATTTAATCAAGCACATATAATTGACTTAAATCACTTGGCAAACATTTCCCGTAAACGAATCCTGTGTTCTGCCAAAAGGTTATCTTGACTCAAACGAAGTCAGGAGAGCATCATCGTGAAGAAATCAGATGTGCTCTGTTTGTGGTTCAACCCACTTGTTTGATTGGTGGAAAGTGATGTAAGAGGGGTAAAGTTTGACTATAAAAGTAATCTGTGAAAAGTAATACACCGGATTTGTTTCGATATGCTGAACTTGTTGATGTTGGCGTGTATGCATTAAAACACTTCCCGCTGGGTTGCAACTTCAATTCGCCGTCTCTTCTCTTCATTTTGCCACAACACTGATTGGCCCGCTTGAATCTGTGGAACCCAATCACCTGATTGGCACTTGAAGAGGAAACAATGGCAGGAGAGAGAAAGAAAGGCAGGAGAGGAGAAAGGACATAACACGTAACAGAACTCAACTTACAAGTCTGTAGTAGTGGATTTGCATGGGCTCAATACAGGTCTGTTTTACAAAGCAATAGGTGACTGATACATGAATGTATGACCGCTTACAGGGCTGGTTTCACTCACAGAGGTTTGTTCATTTTTGTAAAATAGATTCTGTCTGCACAGACTTTACTGTCACAGATAGAACTGGAAGGAAGACACAGGCAATATAAAAGAATAGAGTTCATACAATTTAAAGATAACATTTTCTTCTACGAGAGCAACTGAAGCAGCGAGAGGATGTTCGTGTTCCCTATTCATGAACTTTGATTCCAACTAATCTTAAATTAAACTAATTCTTGTTGGTGCAACCCAGCCTGAATGTCTGCAGGTCAGAGTGTGAGTAAACAAAGGGGAAGTGTGCTGGGTTAAATATGCCTGTGCGGATGCAAAGGGAATCTCAATCTGGCAACCATGAGGCTAACATGCACTTGTGGAAACCCTCGAGAATGAATGAACCTTTGTGCAAATGCTGCAGTAGAATTTCCCCTCAAAGCCTCTCAATCTCATTTCCAGATGTACCAACGGACTGAGCGGAGCAACGTGTTCCTAGATTATGTTCCTGATGATACAACTCTGAGCTAATGTTCCTGTACTCAGACATGCACTCTGTGGCCAAATGTATGTCGACACCTCAACATTACACGCATATGTCAATACAATATTTTACAGAGGCTTTGGTTCAATTTTCACAACTGCAAAACTTGTGATGCAAAAAGACAACAATGACAACTTCTTACCTTTAAATTAAACCCTGAAGTGCAGAACACTAGAGCACATGCTTGGCCCTCGGAATACAGACGTAGGTATTTGCACAGGTTTCAGCGCTTATCGTCAGAGTAACCACCAGTCCAATCATTTGTAACACGTGCTTGCAAACAGCAACGCAGCACTGTTGCAGCTGCAGGCTGCTTTACATTTGCAGCATAGATAACTCTTGGCAAGACAGCAATATTTCCTCAATAAATGCCAAACATTTCCATATCCATGGTTAGAACAAAAGCACAGAAAAATACATGGACTGTGCAGTGGTGACCACCCCCAACAGGAGTCCTCACATATCTCAGCAATCTGATCTGATCCACCAAGCCATGAACTGTTTATATCTCCTGCATGCCAAGGGGTCCAAAGAGTCAGGGGCCCCCTAACATTCACCTGCCAAATGTCACTCAAAATCACAACAAAGAGACACGTACCAACCAGGAAGATGCACAAAAAGACTACAAAGACACAAAATGCCCCCAAAGAGACATGAAACAACTAAAAAAAGACACAAAATGACTACAAAGAGATGCAATACAACAAAAATTGGCAAAATGTCTACAGAAAGACTCCAAATGCTAAAAAAAGACAAAATGACAACAAAAACAACCAAATAAGACACACAATGACAACAAAAAAGACACTAAATGACAAATTGACCAAAAAAAAAAGACACTAAACAACAACAACTAAAAGAGGGCAAACAACGATAAAGTCTGTGAGTTTTGATGGAGGAGATATGGCCTTATGCAAGTCATAGTTGTTATTACCCGCCCATGACTCATGTCCTGCACCCATGTGTCCTCTTCTACACAATTAATAAATGTACCTTGAAGAGAATACTCTGTGAGTAGTTAAATAAAAGTGATGCCGAGCAGCTGGTCCTTCCTGCGGGACGGCCCACGGAGGGAAGGGAGCCCCGCAACGTATCTGCGGCCTCTTTAACATGTCAAATAGTGGAATATGCAGCGAAAAACTGAGCTGCTTCAGCATCAAATATTTAAACTGCACATTTTAAACGGTATTACACATCCACCCACGTGTCAACTCGTGATGGTTTTCGGCTTGTTTACGGATGTTAAGCGAACCTGAGCACGGTCCAGACCCCATCACGTTATCTCTACTAACTATCGCTCTTTAATTAAAGCAGATTATTTTACGCAGACGTGAGAGTGGTTCCACCATCACACACAAACATCCTGGTCATCACTGCATCAGCACTTTCGCTACAAAGAGGAAGCGATGTAAGCATCTCTTCCGTGACTTTATGAGGAAATACAATTAAAACATCACCTTTCTTTTAATGCTGATCGTGGTCCTGCAGCTCCCCCGTTAATCACAGTGTTTACAGGCGCGGTCGCTGCTCAATGACTACCGGTTCAGTACCGGGCGGGGGTCTGCTCCTCCTCGTCGCGGAGCTCCAGCGTCCTCCTCACGGTGGGAGGAGACTGACGCGACCGTGATGGGAGGGTCGGATGCCGGAGGGCCTGCACAGCAGCGCTGTTGCACCATACCCCGGCGAGAGCAGAGGACAGCCGGGGAGCTGCTGCTGTGTGGACCCTGAAGGCCTCTATACGGGCTGTACTGTACTGGAGTACACGTTTAAAGTACTATATGCGAGTATTTCCATGTATTCTACTTTGAATTGGTGAAAAGTAACTAAGTACATTTACTCAAGTAGGCGACTGTACTCACATTTTTAGGTATTCTTTTACTTCACTTGAGTACTACCACTTTACTTTGGAGATTGTATTTATTTTAGATTTCTACTGGTATTTTTACTTTACTTAAGTACTACCATTTGAAGCTACTTTATTTTGGAGAATGTACTTTTTACTCCACTACAGTTATTTGACAGTTTAAGTTACTTTATAGATTCAGACTAACACAAGATATAACTAAACTAAGTATACTTATAGAATAAACTGGCCAGTAGTATACTGGCTGTAGTACTGCACTGAAGTACATGTTTAGGGTACTTTATGTGAGTATTTCTATGTATGCTACTTTGCAGTGGTGGAATGTAACAAGTACATTTACTCAAGTATAGGCGACTGTACTTTGTTCACATTTTTAGCTATTTTTAACTTTACTTGAGTACAATAATTACATGCTACTTTAGTTTGGAGATTGTATTTTGACTCCACTACATTTATTTGATATGTTATCTTGTTTAATATGACGTGTGTGACCGTAAACCTTAATAATCCTGCTGGTAGAACACGTTTCAAAAGGTTATAAAAATTTCTAAATCTTCCATTTTGTTCATCTTTTTTTTGTAAATCCACAGAAGCAACAAACAGTCAGCGAGTTGTTTAAAACACAGACACATTTTATGATTAAAAACCAGACCGGGTTTCATTAAAATCGTCACATGTAAAGAAACGACAATTTTTTTGTAGACAAAATTCCAAAAAACATAAAATAAATAAAAGTGAAACAAAAGATCAGACAACAAAAAAAAAAATGTTTTGTCAGCTTCCAAAATGTTTTTTTTCTCCATCGACAATATTCACATGTGACATCAATACTGTTGCTAAATGAACAGAAAGTAACGTTAACAGGTGACATTTCATCAATACTCTAAATGAGTACAAGAGGTGCATGTCCACAAACGCATGCAGTGTGTTTACAGGTTAACTGGCAACATGATCCATGGATTCAAACAAAAAAAGCTTTATTTTGTGTGTCGAGTAAATACTTTAAAACCGAGGTGTGTCTGTGTCTGTGTGTGTGTGTGTGTGTGTGTGTGTGTGTGTGTGTGTGTGTGTGTGGGGGGTACTTTTTGTTCGAAGCTATTCTGCATCTAGAAGTTGAGTTAAACTAACGTGACAAAGATACAAAAAAACAACCAAGAAACATGACGTGTGAGGCGGAGAACGTGTCTCGCTGTAGACCAACTGTTCCACACAAGAACTCTACACCCCCCCTCACCACCATGCACCACATACACTTTGCACCAACACGGAGGTCTGACAAACTCCAGTACACGTCTTAATCTCTAGAACAATGCATGCTCTCGTGTTCTCACGTGCCCGAACAACAGATATATATTTACATTTTCTTTTTTTTGCAGATTTGTTATAATTGCACATAATCTGTTTGACTAACTAGTGCAGGTGAAAGTAAGAACTAAATGGTAGAAAGTTATTTTTTTGTTTTAGGTCAGCGGTTCCCAACCTGTTTAAGACTCTTTAACAGCAGCTGAGACCAGTTCAACAGCAAACTCTTCATAATCCCTTATTTGACTCCTGAAGGACGGAGAACTGTGTGCAGCCCTGTTAGCATGCTTATGCTCAGCAGGTATGATGTTTACCTTACTGACGTCTTACTTTAACATTCTAACATTTTATTTATTAGCAAAGTTTTGAACAGTTAACATTTTGACCTCATGTTAAAATAAACTACGGCTGAATTTCTAATAAATTAATCCGACGACTTTGAACACGTCAAGTTAAATTTAGTGAAATTATCTTTCTCTTCACTCGGGGCACAGAAAACTATATTTCACCATCTCTATTTGTTAAATCTTAATATTAAACTTACAGATTTACATCTGACCTTTGCTTTGTAATCTGTGAAGTTGGCCCCGAGGCCTGATATTTATCCACACATGATGACATCATATTTTAAGTGGGCATCAATTTAAATCAAATTGAAGAGCATCCGATAAACATTTCTGTGAATATGTGGACACACCAATAAACACCTGCCACGTCACACTACGTCAGAGGATCCCCAAAGTCAGCAGGGTTCATCCTCCGGGGACCATGAACATCTGCACAAAACTTAAATGAAACGACAAATAAAAAAAGTTGGATGAAAGACTGAAGCATAACACAAATATGTTCTGGTTTTTTTGCTCTTCTATCTTTTTTGAACCATCTTGCGACACTCCCTCAGTTTGGGAACCGTTGAACTATAAGCAACCGATGGAAGATCCAACTGGGACCATGAAGGTGACGGGTACAAGTGCTTCTAAAGAGGTCGGTTACGTACATTTAAAAGAATGGGATCATCAGAGGTGGCTTCAGCATGCAACCCAAGAATAAATCTTAACGGTCAAATCGACTTCTGATCACAACAAGAGCACAGCTGGAGTGTTACTAAGATTAAAGCAGATTTCTTCCTGCTTTCCTCCCATTTTGGTAAAACACAAAACAAAACCACCACCAGTGTTCTCAGCAGATTTAACTTGAGGAGTGATGTGAACAGTTTTAGCTCTGAAGCAAATGGCACAAAGAAAAGCAGCTGTGTCATAAGATAACGTTTGTTTGTTTGGCTTCTCGCTGAAACACTGACAATAAAAAAAACAAGCCAGCGACTGCGGGGGGGAGACAACTGTGCACAACACAGGTCAAAAGGCACAACACTGGACACAGACGAAGGGGAAACAACACCCATGGTGCTTTGCAAAACAAGGCCCGGAGATACAACGAGGGGGAGAGGACTGCTCCTCAATGAGACGTTAGCAGCTCACGACTCAGATTAGCAGAATTAAAACGGCACAAAAAGAAAACAGAACAAATAAGAAGAAGTTACATCAAAGTTCGAGCCTCAGGGAGCGGGACAACAGCACAGCTACAGTTATTCTTCTGTTTGTTCATGCGTGATATAACGTAACTGCATCTAATATGTTCTCTGTACAAAGAAAGGTGTGTCTGAGTGACTTGTTTCTTCTTTTTTAGCTTTTCAGGGATTTAAAATGTTCAGTCTGAGATTCTCCATCTGATATGTGCGAGTACGGCTCAAACTCTGCATTAAGTTGCTCGTATAACAAGGCTGCGTTTACACCAGTAACAACGTTAAACTCTCACTGTAAACGTCAATCAACAGAAAAGTCCATCAACCGGCAAAAACTCACGGTTTCTGTTTCTCCGTTATATATCAATGAAAAGCAACTTGAAGACGTCACCGGGAGCTCTGCGAAATTTTTCACTACTTTCTCAACCGATTAACTGAAAAACAGAATCCTCATGACTGAAAGCAATCATTGTTTGATGACAGCTATGACTGCAACCAACGATGATTTTACGGATTACTTTCTCTATAAACATTAATAGTTTAGTCTAAAAATAGTGTAACATGTCACATTTCCCCCCGGAGCCCAAGTAGACATCTTCAAACCTCAAAGATATTTAATTTACAACGATAAGAAACAGAGAAACATAAAGCTGATAATATTTGATCTATTAATCAGTTATTTGACCACAGCTTTAGTTACTTGTAGCCTTAAAGTTTTACAGGAAATGCACATTTTAAGGCGCGGCAAATTCAGTTTTACTTGCACAAAAAAAGTGCATTTCACAATAAATAATTTAGAAACACATACTTGAACATATTCAGCCCGATAATCAGGTTGTTACGGTTATGATCGAGGAGAGTTTACGTGTATTGTTGTTACAAGTCTTAACATCAGCACCGTCACACTGCAACTTGATGCCAAGTAGATTTAAGAAAAATACACTTCAAGCCAAGTTATTTTCTATCTGCTGGCACAGCAAAACCAACGTCACATAACATCTGAAATATAAAAGCTTTGCTCCGAAGCTCAGGGGGAACTGAGGACACCATGTGGTAGGTTTGGTTACAGTCCGTAAATCTCAGCGTCGACCTGGGCTCAGGTATCTCATGAGCGAGACGAGAGGGATTCAGCGCGCTCGCGCCGCAGTTGCTACGAGTTGCTGCAGAACGTGAGAAGACACTTCAGCAGATGGAGGCGGTGAGATCAGCACGAGGTGCAACACAAACCGGGCCACAGGCCACAGGGACACGTTTCCTCTTCCCCCAATTACAATTTTTAAGATATGCAAGAGATCAAAGCGGGATATCAAAGAGAAAACTTTTTTTTGTGTGTTTTTTTTTTTTTGGGAGGAACACGACAGAAAGCGTGCAGCTGAAAAAAGGTGGTGAAAGATCAGTCGTGGACATTTAAAAAGCAGAGAGGCACTGCACACACGTACTCACATCCAGGTGACCGGGTTTCAATCTGGTTATGAAAAGTGATATTTTCTCCCGTCGTTTAAATACCCACCGAGAATATGTAAATATATGACAACTATGATACAGAAATCAGTAATTACACCATTTTCAGATTATGTCATCATGTAGCCTATATAGATTTATATAGATTCCTCACATGCCTCCAAAAATAGTACACAGTCTTCTTTGAGTCAGTTGTTTTCTTTTTTTTTTGCGCAGAAAATATCCCAAACAGGAGCGACCGACTCGAGCACCGGGAGCAGGAAACAGAGGAGGAGGAGGAGGAGGAGGAGATTTCAGGACGGCAGAAAGACGTCGGGTTCGTCACTCGTTTAAGGTGTTTCTAAAAGAGGAAAATTAAGCATCCGGCTGCCTCAAACAGAGCGATCGGACTCCACCTCCACCCTTCGTTTGTTGTGCCGGCGCCGGTGACCCGCCTCGGACATCTAGCCGAGGATTCTGGGAGTGCAGAGAGGGAGGCGGCGGCGGCGGGATGTTTGCGCCATCAGCAGGTTCAGGTTAAAATCAGCAGAGCTGCGTTCGTCCCTCTATGTCCTTTAAGAGTCCTGAGGAGATTTCTGCTGAGTCGACAGAGCCAAATGTAAAAGTGATGATGATGATGCTCTGTGCTGGGCGTCCATCAGCACCGCAGTGACACTGACCATCAAGAGGAAAACCCGCTCACTTGTAATTCCTTTTATACTCCGCCTGAATCCGGCGATGGAGGAGGAAGAGGAAGAGGAGGAGGAGGGTCGGGGTCTTGTTGCACAGGAGGAGAGGGAAGAGCGAGGGTTTGATGATGACGGTGATGAAGGCGGCGGCAGGAGGGTAAACTCGTGGATCTCGATGAAAACGGGAGAAAATATTCCGCGTTATTGTTTTGTTTTCGTTTTTTTTGTTGATAAAGTTTTATTTAGCTCGCCGTCTCTTCACATCCGCGAGCCTCGCTCCTGAAGGATCTGTGAGGACGGACAGAAATACAAAGTCACACAAATCCTTAAAAAAAATAAATCCCCTAAAATCTCAAAGTGAAGCTCAGTTATTGGTGATGTCATCAGAGCAGAAAGCTGCTCAAGCTTCTTAAATATGGAGATTTACTGTTCATCTCTTTTCAATGAATGAACCTTTAGAAACGTGGAAACTAGGTTTTGTTCAATTTGGTTAAATCAGAATAAAACACTATAACTCGTATCAGGTGTCCGGTGCACAGAGACTCCCGGTTGGTTTTGGTCTTCTCGTGGGTAAAGAACAGAACGTCGGGCTCACCTTGGCCTTCTCGGTGGGCTCGATGACGATGCCGTTGGAGGAGTTGTTGAGTTCACGAGAAACTACACATAGAAACTCTGCCTGGTCCTCGTTCCCGTAGTTATAAGAGGAGCCGATGCTTATAAGCTGAGGATGGGAAAAAACACGAAAGGAGGAAATATTAAGTTCACTGAAAAGTTCTGTGACTCAGCAGAGTTTAAACAATCTGAATTCTGGGTAATATTTCTATTTCTGAAGTTTTCTCTTTATGGGTTCCAGCTTCTCAAATGAGGACACGTTTCACTATTTACAGACATTTTAATGACAAAATGATCAATCGATGGAGAATAAGATTAACAGATTGCAGCCTTAATAGACAAACAACTTTAGGGATGCAACTAATGATTATTTTCATTCTTTTTTTCAATTTAAAATATTAAAAACAATTCATACAATGATATTGAACTGTGGATGTTGGCATTTCATACTTAAATTCACTTTAGACAGCTGTGAATATATTAAGTTATTTCAGCTAAATGTAAATAAACTGTATTATGATTAATAAATGATCCTTAGATGCAACCTTAAATATCACAATACATGATGCTATGTATCTGTACTTATAGTAAAACATGTATATTTGGTTGGAACTAACATGATTGAACTGGCTTCCCAAAATGTATCCTTCCGGAACAAATATCTAAATGTTGCATGAAGCATGAACTACAACATGACAAAAAGGAATGAAATAAATAAAAAGCAGTATTTTCTGCACCTGTTCAAACTTCCAGCCGTCCGACATGGTCGAGACCATCTGTGTGAGCTCCTCCTCCTGGCACTGAAGTACTCGATACACGTGCTTCACGGGTCCCTGAGGGCCACGACACAAACATAAACAAACAGAGAGACAGAAAGAGAGAGAGAGGGGAAGAGAAAGAGACAGAGACAGAGAGACAGAGACAGAGAGAGAGAGGAAGAGAAAGAGAGAACTTTAACAATCTGCCAATTCTGGATTAGTCCGAGGAGGAAGTGTGGTGTCTGTACCTGAGATGTCCGGTTCTCGTTGTCCCGTATCCTCTCCTTCACCAGCCTCACCAGAGACGCGATGTTGTAGAACTCGGCTTCCTCCAGAACACCTGAGGAGCAAACGTTTGAATCCTGAGACCTCGCTGGGTTTTCTGGTCTCTGAATCAGATCACAACGTTCTTACCTTCCTCCGCCAGGTTCTTATCCATGATCAGCTTCCCGTGACGAAGGTAGTTGAGGATGGGGCCGAAGTATGTGGGGTCCCTGTCGATCAGGTAGGCCCCTGTCTCGTCCTGCAGGGAGGGGGGGCAAATAAGAAAAGGTTGAGGAGGATTTGGTTTGTCCTCACTGTTAAGACATGAACTGCCAAAATAAAGCTCTTTACCCCTGAAAGTTTGATTATTTAATTGTTCATGCATTTGACTGGAGCAAAGTCTGAAAACATTATCAGTTTGGACAAAATAATAAAAACCTTTCTGTAACAGGTTACTTCAACACGGTAGTATTACTACTTTTACTTAAATTATATTTTTCATGATGTAAAATCTACATAGAATATGCCTTTAATTTAATATAATTAATATTACATTATTCTCCTATTTGTGTGCATTTTCTTATGCCATTTACCTTATTATTGTTATTATACTACTATCAGACAATAAACACTACTATAATAGAAGTGTAAATAAATTACATTATTATGACTTTATGTGCTCACCTTGTCGGAGTCCAGGTCGGGGTCTTCTTGACACAGACGGAACAGGAACGACTTGGGGTCCCGACACAGCGTCTGTTTGGTCGTGATGAAGTATGTCCCGCCGACGTTCAGGCGAACCCAGCGCGAACCGGGTTCGGACGGAGAGTTCGTGTTGCTCTTCGCCGCAAACCCGAACACCGAGCGTCCACCGCCTCCACCGCTGCCGCTCGACACCCCGCCGGGACTGAGCTGCTGGCTGCCGCCGCTGCTGCTCCGCGGGGGAACCATGATCGTGGGCGACGCGAGGCGCAGAGAGCCGCGAACATCGCGGTGGTGGTGCTGCTCGGGCTGCTCGATGGTGCCAGTGCCGCTCGGTTCCACAACATGCAGTTCAGCCATGTTTTTTTTTTTTTTTTTTTTTCTTCGTCTGTAAAACACACACACACACACAACCGCGCGATTATCTAACGACACACTGCGGGGAAACAATGTCTTCCTCCCAGTCGATTTGTAAACAGAGCGAGGGTATTTTTCTCTGGCATCAGGGCGTTGCTCCTCACACCTCGACCGCCTCCTTTCCTCCTCTCTCCTCCTCGAAGATTAACACACGGATATGACTCCTAACGGCTGTACGGCGGCAGCAGCACCGCGTTTAATCGTCTCTTCACGAGATAAATCGCTCATTCTCTCGTCCGTTCAAACGTTAATCAGAGGAAGGAAAAAAAGAGGGAACACTTCCGGGTTGTAACGTGATTACTGTTTACTTCCGCTGTGTTGTCGTCTTTCAAAATAAAAGCAAACACAGTCATATTTGGTTTGTGGAATTTTATCTTCTCATGTAGTAGTCTCATCTAACTATCTATCTATCTATCTATCTATCTATCTATCTATCTATCTATCTATCTATCTATCTATCTATATGTAGGAAAGTACATTTTGCAGCTGAAGTTCCAAGTAGTATTATTGTAATGAATGGTATAACTGTTTTTAAATAATAAATTATTATAATTATTATCGTTTGTCTCTGTCTATTTATTGTATTTTTACCTTTTGAAGTGTGTTTCGTGTGTTTCTATGGAAAATAAGCATGTCAATTCCATGTTTTGTCATCTTTGAAAATGAATCTTCACAATAATATAATTTGAAACAACACATGTAAAACAATAATAAACATTAAAAAAATATTATTTTTTAAAAAAGTGCAGTAAATGTAGAGTTATACAAGCAATGAATGAAGTGATGTAATTATTATCTGCTGATAAATACAATTGCAGTACCGTAGTTAACCTGTGGAGGGCAGTGTGGCGCCAGTGCTGCGAGTATTACAGCAACAGAAGAAGAAGAATTTGACTAGTTGTGGGCGCGTTTAGTTTCTTGCTCGTGTGTTTGCTGTTGTTATTGAACCAGACGCTACTGACGGGTACAGTGCTTGGTAGAGACTACCTGTAATAAACCTTACGATCACCGAGTTACGTTGTTATAACGAATTATATGTTTAATTTCGGATAAGCTAGCTATGCAGTTAGCATCCTCAGAGTTCATTTTACCCAGAAGCTGGCTGTTTTAGCCAGTTAGCAAGCTAGCATCAAATAACGCTTAGCATCGCTAGTAAGAGAAGATGGTGCATGCATGCTGACTTTACAATAGTTGGTAAAGACAGATTTAGTTTAATTAGTTTATCAGTATGAGCTAACTGGGGCTAGGCTAGCCTCCAACACCAAATATATGTGCATTATAAATATTTATAATTAATAATTATTCTGTCCGTATATATCGTATTTTAATTATTGTGGATTTTTTACTATATGTACGTATATATACTCCTCTATGCTGCTGTAGTCCTGTAAATTGACCCACTGCGGGACTAATATAGGATCTATCTTATCTGATCTCTTCCTCTCTCCTTTAGTAAAGTGTGTTGTCATTTTAGAGCCATGAGCGAGTTCAGGATCCACCACGACGTGAACGAGTTGCTCAGCCTGCTTCACGTTCGAGGAGGCGATGGAGCGGAGGGCTACATCGACCTCCTGCAGAAACACAGGACTCCTTATGTCACCACGACCGTGTCTGCTCACAGTGCCAAGGTGGGTGTTACACACTCAGGGATGCCTTAAGACAACTCTCAGGGCACAGAAAAGTCCTGGAACAAGACCATAATGTCCTGAAGGTGATGAGGATGATCTTAGGATCTTTTGCAGGTATCATTAGCCAACAAAATGGTGTTTTTTGCCAGATGTGCATGCAACAAATGGTAGGATAAATTAGGGCTCTGTTCAGACAGATTGAGTACTTTATTAATCCCAGCAGGAACTGTTAACGTTACAGCAGCTGAGAGCAAAAAAGAGAACGATAGTGTGCAAAAATAACTGTACAAAACTATTAACAGTAGCTTAAATAACTCAGATAATCTATACCGTACATATGTAATAATGTGCAGTGGTAGAAAAGCAAAACCATGTGAGGTGAACATAGCAAGTATTCCAAACAGGATCTCCTGCAGCGGTCCTTGTCACAGCAGAGTTTGACCTGAGTTGTATTTGAGTTGTACTTTATATAAGTAAAGGCTGTTATACAGCAAGAACAGTTACAGAGTTTAAATCAGGTTTGAAAGAAGCAAGAAGCATATGACTGTGAAAATGATTTCTCACTCCCTGTAGCAATGAATGTGTTGCTAACTGGATGTGCTGTTGATATTGGCTGTTAAATCGTTTCCAGGTGAAAATAGCAGAGTTCTCTAAAACCCCCGAGGACTTCTTGAGGAAGTACGAGGAGCTCAAGTCCAAAAATGTTCGAAACCTGGACCCTCTGGTTTACCTGCTCTCCAAACTCTGTGAGGATAAAGAGGTAATGCATCGTTAATAAGCAGCTTATTAACTGGTTTTGTTTGTCATCACTTCAAATTGATTTATTTCGCTCTTTTGGTGTTTCAGATTTAAAATGATTATGATGTAAAGAATGAATCGTGTGTTTTCATGTGATTGTTTTTCATCTCTCAACAACGGGAGTATTGTTAATAAATAAGTGAAATACAAAAGACAAACCGCTAATGAGACCGATGTAAATAGAAGATTGAAACACATTCTAAAGGTGTTGAAAGTGGCTCGATTTGTTGATCTCCTACACGTTTTAAAAAGTTAGATAAACTGCCATATTCACCCTTAATAGTTCACCTTTCTTATCACAATATCTCATAGTTTTGTCGTAATATTTCTTTTTTAGACTCTCCAGTTTCTGCAGCAGAATGCCAAAGAGAGGTCGGAGTCATCGGCGAACACAACATCAACCACGACTACCAGCTACACTCTGCCCCAGACCAGCACCAAGATGTCCATGCAGGAACTGGATGAGCTGCGAAAGAAGCTCGGCAACGTGACGGCCAGCTCTAACGCTCCTCTGGTGAGCGGTTCTTACTCGGATGCTTTTTGTCTGAGACGTGAAATCTCATCTTGCGTGAGTCTCAATAAATGATGCTTGTGTTGTGTGTTTGAGAGTTCACCTGAAGGGCTGCTTTAAACATTTCACTGGAAACCAAAACTCCAGCCTTATATCCGCCAAAAAGTGCTAAATTAAATAAAAATATCCTGTGTCTTCGTGGTTTTGTCTGCAGCCGGCTGAGGTCACGCGGAAGATGCTGCGGGACAAACACAACAAGAAGAACCCCACGCAGCCCAACCCCGTGTTTCCGAACTGGGTGTACGACCGCCCTGCTCTCATCGGAGACTTCATCACCAGCCCGACTCCTCCAGGAGATCCAGCAGCGGCCATCGGTAAGACTTTTAATAATGGATTATCAACTAGGTGGGAACCAGCAGTTGTGTTACGTCACTCCTCCTCAGTCCATATATGGTCACTTGCTGTGTGCTGGTTGCAAAAAAAACCAAGATGACGACGGCCAAAATGCCGAACTCGAGGCTCCAAAACGGCAGTCCACAAAACAACGAGTGATGTCATGCGAACAATCAATTGTGTATTCCAGCAAACGCCTGTGTGTGTTGTTCAGGTACGATGGGGCTGCCGGCGCAGGAACAAGCTCTGGTGGAGGATCTGCTGTTCGTCCTGGTTGGAGTTGACGGACGAGACATCACAGCTCAGCCCGTTCTGGGGAGACAGAACCGCTCCTTCATTGTCGACTCCACGCTGGACATGTCCATCAAAGAGCTGGTTAACAGAATACTACCGGTGGCGTCGTATTACTCCACTATAACACGGTGAGAATGTGACTGACTCATTTGTTCTCTCTCTGAGGACAGATTGTTGCTGAGTGGTGTTTCATTTGTCCCTCAGCTTCATTGAGGAGAAGTCGTCCTTTGAGTACGGCCAGGTGAACCACGCGCTGACGGCGGCGATGAGGACCCTGATGAAGGAGTACCTGATCCTGGTCACTCAGCTGGAGCACCTCCAGAGGCAGGGCCTGCTGTCCCTGCAGAAGCTCTGGTTTTACATCCAGCCCACCATGAGGACCATGGAGATCCTGGCCTCCATTGGTAAGAGTCTGGAGAACACCAGTTTTGTGTCTTTTGTGCACATGGACCAGTTCAAACATGAGAACGACGTGTAAATCTTCTGCACGTTTATGCAACGAGGTGAAAGTCTGTAGGGGACAGACTGTGTTTAGGGACAGCAGGTGAACACCAGCTGCTGGTTTTAACCACTTGAGGGCGCTCTGAACCCGGTTCACAGAGGAAACTACAGCACCAGCAGGATGAGCACAGATGATGTCTGTTGTTTCATCACCAAACAATACAAGATCAAACTAATACAAACTGTTGTAGCGTTGGTTGATCCTTTACTGTTAGTTTCTCTTTTTATGCCATCAAATGTTTAAGATTAATACACAAAGTCAACAACCAAAGGCACATTTTGACATCAATGTCAAAACGTACATGCGAAGAAAGAAAAGGGAAATTATATATACGCAACATAAAATAACAAAACAAAAGAAAATCACATAAATTTAAGCATTTTTTACCGCTGAAGAATTAATAAAAACGATCAGAAATCTCTCCAAAATTCCACATTAAGACACCAAGACCTTAAGGAACATCGTAGAAAAATCCATGCTCTGATTTAGAATCGGAAACCTTTGGAAATGAGGAGATTTCTCCAAGAATTTCATTTTGTCCAAACATCGTCTGAATGCCCTCAGTCTCTAGTTTGTGGTTGTAAAGTTTCATGAGGCTGTGATTGTCCTCGTTCCTGCAGCACTCTTTTTTTCCAGAAGATGACTGCACTAATCAAACTGTTACTTTTCCATTGCTTTATCTTTTTATCCTTTTGAAAGTGAAGTAATGTTCCTCCACTTGTTCCGCAGCGTCCTCCGTGGACAAAGGGGAGTGTATGGGCGGGTCGACGCTGAGTCTCCTTCACGACCGAACCTTCAACTACACGGGTGACAGCCAGGCTCAGGAGCTGTGCCTCTACCTCACCAAAGCAGCCAGCGTCCCTTACTTTGAAATACTGGAGAAGTGGGTGTACAGGGGCATCATCAAGGATCCGTACAGGCACGGCTTTAAACCGACGCTCAGAATATCAAAACCCACTTCTACCGCCGTGTCCGCTCCGTGTTTTTAATCTTGTTGTGTCCTCACAGCGAGTTCATGGTGGAGGAGCACGAGCTGCAGAAAGAGAAGATTCAGGAGGACTACAATGACAAGTACTGGGATCAGAGGTACACCATCGTACAGCATCGGATTCCCTCCTTTCTACAGAAAATGGCGGACAAAATATTAAGCACAGGTAAAAACACAAAAAAACATTCTCAGAGCCTTTCTTAGAAAACAGATTTTAAGTCCCTTCTCTTGTCATTTCATAGGGAAATACCTGAATGTGGTTCGGGAGTGCGGCCGCGACGTGACGTGTCCGGATGCCAGAGAGGTGCTGTACACCCTGAAGGAGAGGGCCTATGTGGAGCAGATAGAGAAAGCTTACAACTACGCCAGCAAAGTGCTGCTGGCCTTCCTCATGGAGGAGAAGGAGCTGGTTTCACGCCTGAGGTAAGTGGTTAAAGGCAGGGTGGGTCATCTTGAGAAACTAGCAAGAGTAGGCTAGATTTGAAAAAGATCCATAAAAAAAAAAGAATAAACAGCCTAATGTTGCCAGATCTTTTCCAATGAAAGCAGCCTGCAGCACTAGCTCCAAAAGTTGCTAAATGTAGCGAGAAAGTCGCCAAGTGGTCGTGGACGTAGTCGTTTTAAAGCCTCGCGTTCAGCATTTTGGCCGTCGTCATCTTGGTTTTTTGCAACAAACAAAAACAGGAAGTGACCATATTTGGACTGTGTTGGACTGTGGAGGAGTGACACAGAGACGCCGAAGCATTTATTTCTAATAATAATAGTCTATTCAAGTTTAAGCTACTTTCATGTTACTCCAGGACAGTTTACATTTAGAAAAACAACATTAATTAAAAGCTTGGATAAAAAGATAAGTCTTAAAGCTGGATTGCTGGACTTTTATATATAAAATCTGTTTGTATGTAGTGATTTACTGTGTTGTTTTCATTCAGATCCATCAAGCACTACTTCTTGATGGACAAAGGGGACTTCTTCGTGCACTTCATGGACCTGACGGAGGAGGAGCTGAAGAAGCCCGTCGACGACATCGTTCCTCCCAGACTGGAAGCCCTGCTGGAGCTGGCTCTGAGGATGAGCACAGCCAACACAGACCCCTTCAAAGACGACCTCAAGGTGGGCGCTAAACACTCCGAGTCAGACGGCATGAATATGAATCTGATGTTAGACCTGTTAGTATGACTACAGTATTTACACTGACTACCGACTACAGGAACCGATACATGAGCTGAACAACCATCCACTCCTTCATGTACCGACACTAATCTCTCCGCAGATTGACTTGATGCCCCATGACGTCATCACTCAGCTGCTGCGTGTTCTGGCCATCGAGACCAAACAGGAGAAGAGCATCATCAACGCGGAACCGACGGACGTGGCCCTCAGCGGGCTGGAGGCCTTCTCCTTCGACTACATCGTCAAGTGGCCGCTCTCGCTCATCATCAACAGGTTTTATATTGTTTCGTTTCCTTAACTTTTTAGATACTTCAGCATATTTGGAAATATTATAATCAACAATAAATCCTAAATACAGTTATGATTTCTACAGCTCAAAGAAATGCAGTTACTGTCGGCCATTTTAGAGACAAATCACTGTATTTTTTACATTTTGTACACGTAGAAGACACTTTTTCTTTATTTTAAAGAAGACATTGGAGCCACAGATTACTCAAAATTAAAACGAATAAAAATTCATTCCAGGAATATTATTATTATTCATACTCATTTTTCAGGAAAGCCCTGACGAGGTACCAGATGTTGTTCAGACACTTGTTCTACTGCAAACATGTGGAGAGGCTGCTCTGCAACGTGTGGATCAACAACAAGGATTTCAAGCTGTACTCTTCACATTGTGCCAAATGGTGAGTTCATGCACAGTTTTAAGGTGAATTTTTATGCAAAACAAGCACAAAATGTCCTCACACTCCGTTCACTCTGCAGGTTTGCGGCTGCGTTCGCCCTCCGACAGCGCATGCTCAACTTCGTGCAGAACATCCAGTACTACATGATGTTTGAGGTGATGGAGCCCACGTGGCACGTCATGGAGAACAACCTGAAAACAGTGAGTAAAGCACAGCCAGCCGACCGACGCTGCCCTTCGTGTTTGTTGACCGTCGGTCTTCTTCTTCTCCTCCTCCAGGCGTCAAACATCGACGACGTGCTTTGCCATCACACCAGCTTCCTGGACAACTGCCTGAAGGACTGCATGCTGACCAACCCAGAGCTCCTCAGGATCTTCTCCAAACTCATGACGGTCTGCGTCATGTTCACGAACTGCATGCAGGTTTGTTGATGAAGAGGAAATGTTTTTTCTCCTAGTAGAGTCATTTTCTCATAGACTTCTATACAACCAGAGGAGTCGCCCCCTGGTGGATCCTTGTTCTGAGTTGTGTTTTCTTTTCCCGACTGTTGCAGCACGTCACTCAGAGCATGAGGTTGGAGCGCCTCTCTCTGGAACAGGCCATCATGGACGGGCCTCCCACTCAGAGCGAACATGCTGAGGAGACAGAGAAGAAGAGAGCGACCACAAAGGTATTTCCGAAGAATCGCTCATCGTCATGGCCAAAGAAACACGTGAACATGTTTATGGAAACCAGAAAACATTCCAACTATTTAACAACTGGTGCACGAAAAATACTGCAACTTCTGGGTTTGTTTGTGTTCAGTTGTTAGCGGAGCACGCGGACACCCTGCAGTCAGACATCAGCAAGTTTGACAGTAACTTCAGCACGCTGCTGCTGGACCTGCTGGACAAGCTGAGCATCTACAGCACCAACGACTGTGAGCACAGCATGATCAGCATCATATACAGGTACACCGCTGTTGAATTCAATGTGTGTTCTGCATGTCATTCATGTTTTTTTTTTTGTAAACTTCCTTTGATAGTTTTGCTAACTCTGCTCTTATGATTTCACAGGTTGGATTTCAACGGGTTCTACACTGAGCGGCTGGAGAGGATGGCCATAGAGCGGAGTCAGAAAGCATCAGCGTAGCATTAAAAACGTCCTTTACTCACGTCTGCCCGTCACTACCAACAGATAACTTCCATCCAGACCACAGACCTGACGCTTCAGTGTGTATATTATATATCCTGTACTTTTTGAGTTACTTTGGAAATGATGAACTAATGTGTTTATTCTGATATGAAAGTTGAAAGTCATGGCACTCCATATGGGTAACTTATTGTACAATGAAAATGTATGTTTGTATTCATTAAAACGAGAATTTACTGAATGAATTTAGACTCTTGACGTCCTTTAAACCTTTAAAAGAATGTTTACCATCAGGTACAATAGTCCGAAGATTATTTATTTAAAAGCCTCTGGGCAACGTTCTCAGAAAGTTGTTTTTTTTTAAACTTTTATAGAACATTTAGGAAACATTTCCAGAAGATTATGTTACAGAACTTAAATTGAACGTCTGTTGGAAAAACCTTTTTAAGATCCTTTTAGGGAACAATCAGAAGATTGTCTTTTAAGAAAACCTTCCTAGAACCTCGAGAAAACCCTTTACAGAACCTTTAGGGAAAGTTCCCAAATGTGCAGTGTAGTTTAGACAAATATTATTTCACGGTATAATATAGTAAACTAGGCCCTACATAGTACATTAGCCTACTATATGTTTTTATACACAGTAGTAAAACACTGAGATTATAACCCCAGAACATGGTAACGTTACTGATTTGTAATTTTGAAATATTTATCGTATAATAATAATAAAAAACGTTAAATAATGAACAGTTGCGTTTTAGTGACTCAATGAGTGAAGTTAGTGTCAACGGTTCAGTGCTGCTTCCGGTCCGTAGAGCCGTTGATATATCAATTAATAATGGGTCATTATTAAGAATTCTTACTCCAATAACACATTTTTCTTTAAGAATTTGTCACATTATAAACTTAAAAACAACGTTTGCCTCGATAGTTCACCACATAGATTATAAACTCGTCCGATACAAGCTGGCTGTAAACGTTAGCTAGCTAGCGCTTTTATTTTGACATGTTTATTTCACCGGAAGTCTCTTTTTTTTTTTGCGTGTTACTTGTAATTATAGCTCACTTGACTGTTCGTTATTCCGGTAAATATGTGAGGAGGCGATAAGAACCAACCAGAGGAGGAGCTTTCTTCGGAAGAGCTCTTATCGATGATTCACGGTGAGATGAGCGGAGGTGACCGAGCAGAGCGCACCATCGTGGGGGTGAACATGGTCTCACTGTGGCTGATGTGGGGTAAGTGTTCAATTATATCATAAATAGTTTTATTGTGAGAGTTTCCCGACATTAGAAAAGTTGAAGGATGTTTGAACAGGAAAAGGTTGTCGCTTATTATAATAACATTAATCATGTTGTTTGGGAAACTGCATAAAAAAAAGTATTTGTTGTTGTTTTAATGTTTTTTGGTTATTAACAACAATAAAACAAATGGACAGCTACACATTCTTAAGAGTGTAAATGTCCTCCACCTTAAAACGGGCGGAAATCACCATTATTATTCTAAGGAAAGCACCAGAGACTTTCTCATTATAAAACTATTTAAAAAATGTCTAATATATTCATTTTATTTCATTTAAACTCCATAAATATTGGAGTTTTAAAGGACACCTCTCGCCTTTTTAATTCTCTAAAACTTAGACGCATTAAATCAGGTTCCAGAGAAGCTGATATCCTGCAGGCCTCTCACTCTTTATCTAGTGGGTCCTGTGATGTTGTTGCTAAATTCCCTACAGGTGATAGTGTTGTTTTTATCTCTGGTGTTCTAATGATTTGATTTTATCCTTTTGTTTGATGCTGTTTTGATTCTACGGATAAGTTTTGAACTTTGTTTAATGTATTTCGTGCTCTATGAGTGTCTTCACTATTTTCTTTGTTAAGACAAATAAACCATATTAATAATAATAAAACAATTTACTTAAAGTCATTATTTTATAGATTATTGGTGTTATTCGTCATTTCAATGACATTCATACGATTTGAACCCTTTTCCAACTATTCCCATTGCTTCACGTTTATCCAGCGTTCACACCGTAGTTGTGTTTAGAGTTCAGCAATTTGGATTATTTCTGTTGATGCATTTGCTCCAAGTGTTCAGAATTGAGTGCGTAGTTCTAATTTTTGTGTGTAATCAATGTTTTTTGGGGTAATGTCAGCACAGACACAGGTTGTAATACTGAAATATATAAATATTGCGATACTTTAATCAGTGGAACATTAGAGATGGTGACTTTACAGAGATTTATTTAAACTGAAATCTTTAAGATTTCCACTGTAAGTAAAAGTAACAAAAGGCCGACCACACTGTAAAAATACTGAAAGTAACAGGTCTGAATTGTACTCAAGTAAAAGTACCGAAGTATTACCAGCTAAATGTATTTGAAGTATCAAATGTAAAGTACTCAGCATGCAGACTGGGCTCCAGTCAGAGTTACATTATGGAGCCTTCAAGCTCCTGAAAGACGATTTAAAAAGATAATAACAAGTTATTATCCTGAGCAAGAAGATTCAAATTGTGTTTTTAGGACTAGAGAAGTATTAAGTAGTATAAATTGGATATACTTAAGTAAAGTAAAAGTACATCAAAACTGTCCTTAAGTACTTTGCACCGCTGAAAAGAGGAAATATAAACAGGAAGTGTTAATTACATCTCGTCTGTCAAACAGATTGAAAGGCAGATTTAAGTTACTTCACATATTCAGTGTGAATGTTAAATAACGGTGTTTTGTTGCCGTGTGTAGTTTGTGTCGTGCAGACTTCGGGGATGTTGTCTCACGTGGAGAAGTACGAGGTGGTCACACCTCAGAGGCTTCAGGGGAGACCGAGGAGGAGCCTGCAGGACCACCAGGTGACCTCACCTGAGACATCACGTCAGGAATATGTGTGATCAGCTGCTAGAATGTGAACAATGTTCAAAATGTCACTTTAGTGCAGCTACAGAAGTGTGGACAGCAAAATGTCCGTAAAGATTATTCTGTCAGTGAATTATTATTATTACTGATTCATTACTGTGCATACAGGGTTGTACTGCTGCAGCTAGAAGTAGTTAGTAAAAAATACTTCCCTCTGAAATGTGATGTAGTATTAGCACAAAGTAGTATACAGGTGCAGAGTAAATGTACTTAAAATACTAAATAACTATATACAGCTTTATAACATTAAAATGCTACTTTCACATGTGAGCATAAGTAACAATAATTCATTATATATCATTTACAATAAAAGAGAGATTCTGCACTTTTACATTACTGTGGTTTTGCTGTATTTCTTTTACCCGAGTGGATGAGAGAACTTCTCCCTGAACTGCAAAATGATCTCATTTCTATTTTGATCAATAGTTGTTTTGTGACTGACGGACATTTTTCAAACAGCTTTATCCTGATGAGGTTCAGTACGAGTTGCTCATTGAAGGGAGGAAACACACAATTCACCTGGAGAAAAACAGGTTAACACCGTTTTTTAAATGAAACTTAAATTTAATCTTTAAAAATATATATATATCGCAATAGTATATATTTTATATTTTACAGGAATCTCATTGGGAGAGGCTTCACTGAAACACATTATTCAGAAGATGGAAAACGGGTGAGGACGTCTCCAAACGAGGTGAGACTTTGATTTCATTTACCTCTGAAGCTTTAAATGAAGACGCATGAACACACAGGTAACATGACATTTTAATAACGTCGTTGATAGTTTGGAAATAAGGTGTTTTTTCTCCATTGTTTGACATTTAATTAAAAAAAATATATGGATTCATTATAAAAGATAATCAAGAGATTTAAAGGTGCAGTGTGTAAGATCTGGGTGTTTTTTCCTGCACAGAAATTAATATTTAAAATGTCACATTATAGCAAATACACAGAAATATTTACATTTGTATCTGGAAACCTGAGTACTTTGTCCTCAAAGTTACATAATGAGAGAGTTTAAGTGAACCCAACGTGATAAAGATCAAACGCTCCTGATTGATTCATAAAGTCGTATAAAAACACAGAAAGCCTTTGAGAGTAAGCGAACACGCCGATGTCTTCAATGTGATGAGTGTGTTTCCGTGCAGGAGCACTGCTACTATCACGGCCACCTTGAAGGCACGGAGGACTCTTCAGTCAGCGTTGGGATTTGTTCAGGCATTAGGTAAGAACATTCAAACTTCCTTTTTGTAATTTTCCGCTTACATTATCTCCAGTAAGAGTTTCTCAGATATTTGTGAAATGTGTTGCTTCATGATATTTAGTAATCGGTTAGTTTTTGAAGTCTGCGTAAGTACGCTGTACCTGCACAATAACTGGATTTCTAGTCTTTTATTTTCCTTTTTATTGTCTTTAAATATTGTTCTGATGAATTTATTTTCCTTATTTAAGCCACTTTGAATCGTGTCTTTTAGAGTTGCCTTGCAGGAAGCTTGTAGGTATACAGAACAGATTGATCGATCTGTGTCGACACTCTGTGGAGAACTGAATAATTTCCATTCGTCTGTTCGATCATGTTTATTTTTTACAAATGAAGCGCTCGTCTTCTTGTTTCCTGTGCTTGCAGTGGCTTCGTGAGATCCCGGCAGCAGGTTTACTTGATCGAGCCTCTGGGACAGACTGATGACGGTGACCATGCAGTTTACAGACAGGAGAACCTGAAGATCAGAGACAGGCCCGGCTGTGGCTCCTCCCCCAACGCCACCACGCCGTACGACCAGGACCAGGACCAGGGCCCCCGGGTCGCTGGCATCTTCAGGTCCAGATCGTGGGTAGGTGACATGGGGACGGTTTTATGGTTTACGGTTTATCCATTCATGAACATCGTTGTGAACGTTGTATTTCTTTCTGTTTCCTTTTTTCCATCAGAAAACTAAACCCATCGCAGGTCCACAGAAGTTTGTGGAGCTGTTTGTGGTCGTGGACAATATTGAGGTAAATATTTAAATTCCGACAATTTGGCAGCAGGTAAAGTCAGGGACCTGGATCAGTAACGTCAAAATGATTGAGGTCCTCTCCATAAATCTTAAGATAGGTCGATAGCGTAGAAATGATTGTCATGTCAGCAGGTTGATGAATGAATCTGATCGTGTTGGTGTCTTCTCTTCTTCTAGTATCAGATGTATGGAAGCCAGACTAGATCCCGTGTTCTCGGAGCTATAAATCACGTTGACAAGGTAATGTTTGTTGTGGAAGCTCTTAACCAACAGCTCTCGGCACCTTCACTCCTGAGTAACGTCTCCTCCTCTGCCTGCAGCTGTATCGACCTCTGAACATCCGCGTCATGCTGGTGGGCTTGGAGATTTGGACGCAGAGAGACTACATTGACGTAGACATTAATTCGGAGACCACCCTGGACAATTTCCTCCTGTGGCGACAGGCCGATCTGCTGCAGAGGGAGAACCACGACAATGCCCAGTTTGTGACGTGAGGACCGGCCTTAGACGTCTGTGCAGATGCTGAACAAAGCGATGCTGCCGGTTTGACCTGATGTTTGACTGTTTTTCCCTCAACAGTGGCAAAGATTTTGACGGCGATACAGTCGGACTGGCGAATAAGTTCGCCATGTGCACTGGAAACTCAGGTGGAGTCAATCAGGTATTAAAAAAACCGACTTCCCTTGCATGAATCCTTTAACAACTGGAGATGAGGGGAGTTTACGGATACATTACAATAACATCCTGCTTAATTTAGGAAGTGCATTTCTCTTTCAGGATCATCATGACAACCCAATAGGCCTCGCCTCCACCATCGCTCATGAGATGGGACATAACTTCGGCTTGTCCCATGACGCTGCAGGTTGTCTGTGCGGTCCATCTTACAGCAGTGGGAACTGTGTGATGGCAGAGAAGCTCAGGTGAGGACCTTTAGGTCTGTCTTGCTGCAGCTTATATTTACTTTTGCAAGGTACAAAACAGTATCATATTTCAGCCAGAACATCATTTCAGTTTGTACATACACAATATGTGGCAAAAGCACAGTCTGCACACAAAGCCCTGTCCTTGGTTTGAGCCACTTCAGCTCCAATTCAGGGAAACCACCCGGCTACAGATGATGGAGTTCTTCCAGCAGTTTGTGTTCGTCTCTTTCCTGTTTCAACATTAAAATCCACGGTCCAAAAAGCCAGCTTCACATAGTAATGGTTTCCCGAGTTTGGTGTAGAAGAACTGCTCAGAGTCCTGACCTCAACCATCCAACACCTTCAGGGTGAACTGGACTGTGAGCCGGACATGATCACCAACATCAATGCTGGACCTCACCAAAGCCTCGGTTATACTTTCTGCAAGAACGTTCCCATGGACGTGAGCTGACTCTGGATCCTGACGAGGAAACGTTTGGATCTTTTGTACTCCGTGCGGGTTTCTCCTCGAAGCAAAGCGACATTCTCAAAGCTGCTCAAAGTTCTCCAGTTTCTCCGTCCACCCACGTCCGCGTGGTTAGAAAACGTTGGATGTACACAGACATGGCCAACGTGTGTCTCATGTGGCCGAATGGGAGCAAATCCCTGCAGCAGGTTCAACGTCTGGTGGAAAGACTGAAACCAGGAGAGTGGAGGCCGTCACAGCTGCAAATGAATGCCCATAGTTGTGTATGTACTGGTTTAAGCTCTATCTTAAATCAGAAATCTCTTTGCTCCTCTTCAGGACAGGAAATCAAGCGTTCCCGGGGTTCTTCAGCAGCTGCAGCGTGGAGCAGCTCGCTGAGTTCATGGAGCGAGCTCAGCCCAGCTGCTTGTTCAAACCCAGCTCCAGTCGGAGCATCGCCGCGGGCCCGAGCTGCGGCAACGCCCTGCTGGACCCTGGAGAGGAGTGTGACTGCGGCACTGTGGAGGTAAAACCTTGGAAAGTTTAATTATATCCTTCGGTGAGGAACGATACTATTTAGGATCTCTGTTTTAGCTGACTGGTGTGGTTTCCTGTGAGCTAATAAAAGGAGAATGAGGCACTTGTGATTCAGAGCATGCCAAGCTGGAGATTGGCTTCAAAAAAGAAAAATAGTTTTCCTGTTTGCTCACAGCAGAGAGACAACATTCTTGGCAGAGATGCTGCTTGTGTGGGAGATTTAAATCTGATCTGTTCTGAAAAACTGAAAAACTGAAAAACTATGTTTTTCTGTAGGAATGCAAGAACCCGTGTTGTGACGCCTCAACATGTCGCCTGACTGAAGGATCCCAGTGTGCTCATGGACAATGCTGTGACAACTGCCAGGTACTTCAGCTCCCATTAATGTAGCTCTTAAAGTGTGTAAGCGCGCTAGTATTTGCTAATTAGCACCCAAAGCACAGATGAGGCTGATGGGACGTCATTGATTTTGCAGGTATTTGGTCATAAACCAAAGTATTAGACGAATAAAAACTTTGAAAAGGTTTCGGGATTACCAAAGTTATGAGAATTTATCCAGAGGGGGGACTTGAATATGTCATATTTTATGGCAATCCATCCAATATTGGTTCACTCAGAACCGCAGATGTGAACCTCATGCTGGCACTAAAGGAAAGGTCAAGTCTTTAGAATTCATCCTCTGGGGATCATAAATGTCTAAACAAAGCTTTGTGCCAATCCATCCAGTAGAATCTGAGATATTTCAGTCTGGACCAAACATACAGACACACCCTGCGTCTGGCTAATAACTGAGGACATTAAAACAGCAGTTCCATAATAACAGGAAACAGAGGGCGATGTCCTGCTGTTTCCATGTTATGTACTTCACCACATCCTTCCTCAAATGACAGTTTCAAAGACTAGAAGTCATGCAATATGACATAGCTAATTACATATACTGTTTTATCCACAAAAATCACCTGAAATGTGCTTTAACCCACAGTTCAAACAGGCTGGAAGTGTGTGCAGAGAGTCAGCCGGGGACTGCGACCTGTCTGAGTACTGCACCGGAGCGTCGGAGGAGTGTCCCGAAGACGGCTTTGAGATGAACGGCAAACCCTGCTACGACCAGGCCCAGGGCTACTGCTACAACGGACAATGCCCCACACATGAGCAGCACTGCTGGAGGCTGTTTGGACCAGGTACCCTCCACACAAAGACACTGTTTCACTGTTTTCTCTTCAAAAGAGGAAGCCGAGCCTCCATGAGTCTGTTTCTAGTAGTCTCAGTAAATTTCACCGTCACATGGTGGAAACGTCTGTTTCTAAGAAAGGCCTCTTCAGTGTTGTGCAGTTGTATTATATAAAAGGACTACAGAAGGTTTGATGAATAGCACTCTCACAGAAATATAGCAGAGTCTCTACATCTACAGAAGACGTGAGTATTTAAAAAGACAATTTTAATCCATCTCTTGTGCTTGAACCCATACTATCTGACAGTATCATATATGGAGATGTCCTCCAGTTTTGGTATCGGGCACATTTTTATTGGTTTAAAATAACGCTGATAAAAATCGAATCTTTTCTCTACTGTACTTTGTCACCTCCGGCTGCTGGTGTCGCTGCACTGCTCTGCTGCATCACATTCAATCTCTACACTTGGGCTATCCTGAATCATTTCCATACAGTACAAGTATCTATATGTTGTGTGTTTATTAATATTTAAGGTGTTGCGTGTCCCAATTGCACCAAATTCGACAAAGCCCTCCCGGGGTTCCCAATAAAACACCCACCAAGTATGAAGCAGATCGGATGAACGTTTCTCGAGATACGCGAAGAACACACAGATTCTTTGCTTTGGTTCTTCAGTTCGATTCTGTATCCGCTCAGCAAACCCAAGACTCCTCGTCTGTACGCTGCACCGCTCCGTGTAACGGAAATATTCTGGATGTCTTGTGCATCATTTTATACACATTTCCCCGAAAAATATACTGACTTAAGTCAAATTTGTGACTCAGAGAGTTGATGTTGACTTTGTATGTTTTGTCTGGATTTTTTTGTCAGGGGTACAACTTTATCTTCTCTTACTTTTCATCTATTTTTTCCTGAATACGCCATAATTCAAAAGGTTAACTATGAATATCTTTTCTCCTCAGGGGCCAAAGTGGGATCAAACGTGTGTTTCAACCTGAACAGGCGGGGCGAAGAAGGCGCTAACTGTGGGAGGAACAAATTGGGCTACATCCCCTGCGCTGCACCGTACGTATCATCGTAGTCTGGCTCGCTTTCTGTCCAAAAGTTTATCACAAAAATAAGCACATAAAATAAGCCAGCACCAGCACTGAAAAGTAGCAAAAGAACACATGAAATGTTGTATGTTTGAAGCTAGTTTTTGATCAATTTGTCCTTTTTGTTTTGCAGGAATCTTAAGTGTGGATCTATGTTTTGTGGAGGAGGGGGCGAGTCCATCACAGGTAAAAGGGCAGCGTACACCGTGTACAGCATCGAATGTAAACTGGCTGTGGACGACGATAAGACCAGAAACATGGACATGGTGCCCAACGGAACCAGATGTGGACCCAACAAGGTTAGAGCGGGGAGACACGTTACGCCTTCGTTATGTTACTGCTGTTGGACGTTTTGCTCAGAATCAAACATTTGTTCGCAGGTTTGCCTCGGCAGCAGATGTGTGGATCTGTCTGTTTACGGGAAAAAGGGCGATTGTGAAAAGAAATGCAACAACAATGGGGTGAGTTGTTTTTTCCAGGGTTTAAAAAATGTCGTGCAGCTGTTTTGAATCTGACAAAAGTTGTTCTGGACTCGGCTGTTTAGATGAATGTTGTTGCGTTTGATCCTCAGGTGTGTAATCACAAGAAAGAGTGCCACTGTCATCCTGGCTGGGCTCCACCGTACTGTGAGATCCAGTATGCAGATTTACCTCAAGGTACAGGACCTCACGACAGCACACTGTGTGGTCTGTTCAGACCGTCAGCTCTCAGTGAGCAGCACTCACACAAACACAGGTCACACCTGATGAGTCATTCCTCCAGTAAGAAACATGAATGATTCATTATGAGCTCCTACTTCTTCCAGCATCGACCTAATCAAGTTTTCCTGATGCTGGAGATCTAAAAACCTTTTATCTTAATCCCCAGACTATCAACTTATAAACCGATAGAACATCAGTAGTGGCCTTTCACGTGAGATATGACAGTTTGCTCAGTGATTGTGCAACTATTCGGTCGTCACAGTAAACAGCTAAAACTGCTAAAAAAGAAGGAAGAAGAGACACTTTGCGGGCAGAAGTTTTGAAATACTTTGGTACACGGTGTACAACACTTTCCTCACCGCCTGCAGATCAGAGTGGTATAATAGCTGGAGTGTGTGCGGCCGTCTCCATCCTCCTGCTGATCGCTGCAGTGACTGCAGGACTGCTGTGCTGCAAGAAGGACAACATGGACAACTACACCTCCAAAAGGTGGCCGGATGCATCCCCTCATATTCGTCTCCTTTGTGTTCGTCTCAGACTTCACCAGCTGAATATACGTTTCCTTCTTTTCACAGGAAAGTGCACTCGGCTCCAGACCGGCTGAACCCCATGTTTCAGGAGCAAAGTGTGAAAGACAGACCTCAGATCAGTCCGCCCACCTTCATGGAGTCGACAGCAACACAAGCCTGCGCTCCTCCGATCGTCACCGTGAGTCCCAGCAGAGCTGCTCCTCAGGTACAGACGGCATGCATCACGTATTCACAGATGACGCGATTAAAATGCAAATAACAGACACTCATGAACCGCTTTCTTCTTCCAGCCACCGAAGAAACTCTCCTCAGCGCCGCAAACTGAGCCGGTAAGCTTTAAACTAAAACAACTTGCAACGTGATCAGTCGCTGCATAATGCAGACTGAGGATCGCATTCAGAGTCGGCGACTTTAGTCTGCTGAAGTTCAGAGACTTTGATAAAACATGGAGATAAATATCTGTACTCAGACACGTGGTGAGCAACTGGTCAGAAAGGGAAGGTCTGTGGTTTGATTACTGTAAACAAATCCCACGAAACGACCAAAACCGACAATGTGTCGCTCAGTACAACATTCATTTTAACGCAGCACATCACAAATATGTAGTTTAATTTTTAAAAAGTCTGAATAATTTCCAAAAACAGCTGCTAACTGTAGTTTTTATTACAGTAAACAGGAGTAAATAGTGCATTTGTTTTGGGGCTATTTTCAGCGGTGGATGAATCCACATGTGGTGCTCTAGTTGGTGTTTATATGTGTGCTTGAGTCAGAATAAACTAGTGTGTTGGTGGTGATGAAGGAGCGACAGTGAGGCTCATTGATGTGTTTTTAATGGACATCAATGGCGATCACTGTACGCCAAAACAACCAGATTCAAAAACAGATTCTCCCTTCAGACCGTCACTCTGGTGTCAAAAACCCTCCAACAACAGTTTAGCCACTGCTGCTATTGAAGACGATCATTTGACACTTTCTGATGCACAATTAGTTTGCTGGTGAACACGTCATCTCAAGAACGCCCGGAGGGAACTTCTTTAAACTTGGCACAAATGTCCACCAGGAGCTCAAGGACGAACGGATTAGATTGTTTGTGGTCAAAAGTCAGTGTGACCTCACAAAACATGTTTATTGGCCATAACTCAAGAACTGATACGCTAATTATGAAAATTTCACACAAATGTCTAAAAGGATAAAATGAAGTGATGACATTTTGGACAAACATGAATGTAAACTGTGACTTCATTGGTTGGTGGAGGGATACATAATCCTAGTTTAATAAGTCCCACACTTTATTTACAGTAGAGACATATTTACATGCACACACTGTACGTACTCATACAGTCCATGGACATACACGCAGTATTTACTTATAGAACGCTTTTTATTTATAGACATTTATTTAAAAAATGTTGTTGGTCATTGGTGCTTAATATAAATATATATTATATATACATATGTATGTATGTGCTCGCATACTTGGGCCAATAGATATGATTGTGAGGGTCAGAGGAAGAATGATACACACACACTACTTTTATACATTCCCTGTTGGTTTTGGTCTTTTCATGAGATTTGTTAATAAGTAATATATAGAATACCACCAGACTCTGAATACAACTATGATTAAACACAAATATCTTCTTCTTCTTCACCAGACAAAACCTGTACCTCCATCTAAACCGTTACCTCCTCTGAGTAAAGCTCAGGTGAGTCACTTCTGCTGCTCTCACTGCTCAGCGGTGAAGCTGACCAATCAACAGTTCTGATGATCGATTCATAATTTAAATAAGTTTGTGAAGCAAAAGAGAAGCCAAACATTTGTCGGCTCCAGCGTCTTCATCAGTTGAGACAGTTTCTTGTGCTGCTGCAACATGTTTTCTGTCATGACTCAAAGCCACCACATTAATTCACAAGTAGCAACGTGATATTTATAACAGTGCCTAAAATGCATCTTTTGTTTTCCAGTGTATTGCAGCCAAACCTCCTCCTCCTCCCATCCCTCCGGTCAAACCCAGCCCTCCTCGGCTCCCAGCGAAGCCACGATTTCACAGACCCACGTGAACGTCTCACTGAAAGAATCGTGTTTCACATCCAGCGTGTGGTTACACATTTAGAAAGAGAGCGATCAAAGAGTCTGGAGAAGTTGACTCTTTGTCTTAAAGATGGCTGACTGAGAATGTCTCCGATGACAAACAGCTTCACAGCAGCTGTGGGAAAAACACTTTTGAAGTTGTCTCATGACAGCGTGAGCAGAGTGGTGCTCACATGAAAATAGTACTTTTTAAATGTTTATTTAATGTCTGTGCAAGGGACCGTATGAAAATGATTAGTGTGTGAAGGGTTGTGTGTTATTCTAAGAAGCATTTTCTAATCTGAGAAAACAGAGAGGCTGGAACGTCTGGGATGTCATGATCATTAATGTGACGTTTGGTTTGTAGCTCTGTTTTTGGTCTCCACCACCAAATATCTGGTTTTTTTTAGCTGCTACATGCTCCGCTATGCTCACCAGCTAGACTAACTAAGTCTGTCTGCTGTTTGCTGCTCAGCAGGTAGAGTACGGCAGCTTTTTAGAGCTTTTTCCTCTGAAAACGAGGCGATGAGAGAAACAGAATAAACTATGAGCTGAAACTCACGATAAAGCTCCGAAAAGATCTCGGTTCATCACGACCAGAGACACCTTTCACGTAGTCATTTCATACATTGATAATATACAAATATTGATTAAAGCTAGGGCCGGGTATCGCTACTACGAGACAACCCAGTACCAAGTAGTATCAACATTTCTCAAATCAAACGATACCTGTAATCCATTATTGCTAGCAGCGCAAACGATTGCAACAGTGCTGACGAAGCAGGAACCCTTTTTCTCCAATATAATAGTTAAATAAAGCTGAGCAGAGCCTCAGTTGTCCTCCACACACACTATTCGTTTCCATACAGTCCCTAAGCTGTGTCCAAAGCCAGTCTGTGCCTACAAGGTTCATTTTGTACCGCTTTTTTTGCACTGTACTTGAAAACCTACGAATGGTACTCACAGTATTCAGATTACTACTAGTAATAGTTTACTGTGGTTCAGCTTCTGGTCTCGAGGGGAGGTGTGTGACGGAGCCTCGAGGAACAAGTAGTTGTTGTTGTTGTTTTACTGCACTTTTATGTTTCTAAGGCAGCAGTCACTGGTTCATAGCTTGGTGGTTAAACCAGCAGGATATCACCGAATGGTCTGAAAACTTGAGTTTGGAGCGATAATATTTTGTTAATCCGTCGCGACTGAATGAATGTAAAAAGTAAATGAATTCCCACGAGAGGCCTCTGCAACAAATATAGTGCACTTCATTACAAAAGTATGTTGCATTGGTATCTGCTGTTTTTTCTTCAGAAATGTATTTATGTGAATTGCAAAATCATTAAAAGTTTCATTTTTCTCAATAAAGCCCGTTGTGTTTACTTCTCTGTAACATATTTATTAACCTACCGAGAAATGTTCTATTGTGCTTCCCAGCAAAACACATCAGTTACCAGTTCATCGGTATTCCCTGGTCTCTGGTGGGACGCTAAAGGAAACGGGTCAGAGTGAGTCAGACGTGGAGCTCCCATCATCTGGGTTTCCTGCTCCAGTCGGACACAAAGGATGATGGGATTTGGTTGTTTCCACTTTAACACAGACTCAAGAGTTCTCATGGGGAAAAAAAAACAAGAAATTTCAAGGAAAGTTAGCAGTAAGAGTCTGCATTCATGTTCCCCAGAGGATGCATCCTACTGGCTTTTTCCTCCAGCGCCACAGTGAGATTCACATTTGTAGATTTTTGGGTAAAATGTCTCCACAACTATTGGATGGATCGCCATGAAATGTTGGCTCAGATAGGATGAACTGGAATTACTTTTCTGGCGACATCATCAGGTCAAATACTTTAATTTATCCAATAAAAAATACGTCCAGCATGAATAACATCCCCATCAGCTCTGCTGTTTGAGTAAAGCCTCACACAGAGCGACTAGACTCTGGTCTTCACACTACGAGCGACAAAAGCATCGAAACAGCGACGCGTTGCTACATTTCCACCGAGTCGACATGAAGTGTTTCTCAAGCGCTCCTCGTCTTAGTCACGTCGTTATCAGCGCTGACAACAAGATAACGGAATTTTCTTCAGATAGGAACAGAACAGGGTGAAACAAAAACATGATTTGTTGGACGATTGTCATTTGGATCGTGGTAACAGTACTATTATACTACTATACAGAACTAGTACTGTAGTGAGTACTAACAGTACTCACTACAGCCATGTAGCCATTTAGTGTTGATAACTTGGCAACTTTCTCGCTAGATTTAGCAACTTTTTTTTAGTTACTTTAATTGGATAAGAGTCGGCAACACCGGGCTGGATGTATCGGTTGGATGACATTTTTAGAATCCAGCGTACTTTTGCTGGTTTTCTCCAGATTACCAACCTTACCTCGGTGTGAACGCAGCATCAGTCAAACATAAAAACATCTCAGTACATTTCTTTGCGCGGACCGTTTTAGCACGTTTTTACGGGCTGTTTTGATTGACTCTCACAGCTCTCATCAGCAGCACGGCCACAAATATATTACAGATACATTGTTAGTTTTACTCCATTCCAGACTCAGTCAAGTTCAGACATGTGATACATACAACACGACAAGAGGCTGAATCCTCAGCAGGGACCAGATCTTACTCTCTCCTGGTTTCAGTCTTTCCACCAGATGTGTAAACCTGCTGCAGGGATTTTGTTCCCCTGCTGCTGGAGATCAGGTCTCAGTTCCTCCTATCTCTATGCGTGCTGTGATCTTTTGCTCACATTACATACTGTTTTACAAGCTGCTCACAAAAAGCAAGCATGACAACTCTGAAACCTATCGAGTCTCTTTACAAACAGACTGTGTCTTACAACACGTAGCAAGTCTTAAACCGCCTCATTATTGAGTTAAGAGGATAACCTTTAACCATTGTGAGTAATCAGACTACCTCATCTCTGACACGACCGTTACATACTCTCATTGTTCTTACCAAATGTATTGTATTGTACAGTGTTGTACTATAGTGTTTGCTGTTGCATTGCACTGATATTCGTCTCCTACAGATGAGAATTAGCTCTCTAGCTAACTCTTGCACATGTACATTGAGGTGGAAACTGAAATGTTGATAAATGTGCTCTGTCCCTGGCGAATGAATAAATACATTTAAAAAAAAAAAAAAAAAAAAAGATGGTGGATGGTTGAGGTCACACCAAACTTGGAAAAACATTGATGGAGCCGACTTTGTGCACAAGTTGAAAGAACAAATACACAGCAACCGTTTCTCTTTGTTAGACCCAACGAAGAGTAAATCCCTCATCACACTAATCCCAGACGTCTAAATTGAAGTGTAAAGTAGACGGGAGGGAGGAGGGAGGAGGGGGTTGAGGAATGCGGGCCGTGTTTTCTCTCTGATTCACTTCATGATTCAGCTCATAAAACACTGTTTACAGAGAGTGAGGCTCGTTCTCTGCTTGTTGCTCACTCACATCTCACTGGAGATAATGCGCGATGACGACATCCTCAAAGGGGGTCTGAGCATTTAGTCAAACAAGGAGCCGTCTGTGTGTTTGAACTCCAGCTTCAGAATAATCCACGAGAACAAGAGAAGAAGGTGAAACCACGACAGGTCTGTGTGGTTTCAGGGTTTCTGGCTGCGACTCGCGGCTCACATTCGGTGATAAATCACTTTAAATGTCGAACACACAGAACATCACTGACAAGCTCGTTCATATGTCTGCAACAAAGTCATCAAACACTGCTTACGAATCACTTCCACATGTTGTAGAAAATACTTAAAAGTGCTCAAGAGAAGGAAGGAAGGAAGGAAGACAGACTGTGACTCACTGTTAGTCACTCGCTTTGAAGGCTGAGGAACTGGACATTCTCTCTCTGGTTACATGCTTGAGTCACATTATCTCCATTGTTCTGTTTAAACCAGGACAAACTCAAACTGTACTTTTACAAGTTGAACTTGAACAGATCGTGACGTCTTTCTTAAAAGAAAACAAAGAAACTTGTGAACAATTCAACTCCATAAAGTTCCTGCTCTCTGAGAACAGTTGATTTCAAAGACAAAGTATTCTTTACTTGAGTAAAAGTACCACTGACAGTGTAGAAATACTCTGTTACAAGAAAAGTCCTGCGTTCAAGATCGTACTAAAGTACAAAAGTATTAGCATTAAAATATACCTGAAGTACCAAAATATTCTGCATGAGGTACTCTTCATGCAGAATATTACTGGATTATAATTGTTGGTGTTCATCACATTATTTATATATTGGTGGCTCAACCTACAATAACATCACAATTTACTAGTTTTATTTTATATAAATAATCTAATAAAAGTAATTTAAGTCATCAAATAAATATAGGAGAAATAAAGATAATACTTCCTTCTGAGATGCAGCAGAGAAGAGGTATAAACAAACATATTTAATTTATTTATGCTCCGAGGTGCTGTTAGCTCAATGCTAACATGCTAACTTTTCACGATGCTCACCCTCTTAGCTAGCATATTAGCATGCTAACAATTTGTTACAAATGTTGAGAGGTAAAACTTCAGGGATCACGAAAGTTACTAGAATTCATTCTAAAGGTTAAATATGAATCGAAGAGTGAGTCATGCCAAAGTCATTTTATTTTATTACCAGGTAAACATTTGATCTTTATACAGAGACGTTCTTTACAAATTAAACATTCAGAGACAGATTCAAACCATCAGACGGAAACAAATACTTAAATGGAAAGAAAACCGACAATTCGAGTTACTTAAATACAAAAGAAATAAACTTTTCATTGCACTAGAACTTCATAAATACAACTCGGAGGCCCAACGTTAACCTGAACCTGCAGTACATTCAACCGCTCACTGGTTTCCAATCACTCTCATTGATTTCACTGAAGACGCCGACTGTGCTGCGAGTGCGACGCCACGTTCATGTCATAGACGGAAGACTTAAACGACTAGCGCTGCAGAGATCAGCCGATTAATCGACTGATTGTACGGAGACCGTTTTCTGAACTGATCGTTTCTTTGGGTTTCAGACTGTTGGATAAATTAAGTTATTTGAATTTATGCGGATTATTAAACAAACTATTTTATACACCGAATAATCCAGATCACCAGAAAGTCATTGGAGAGTTCCGGTCCCGTTGAATGACTATAAATCAATTAATCAGCTGATTAATAACTGGATCAATTGATTCATCGTTTGTCAGATGTCACAAAATAGTGAAATATGCCGTTAATAATTTCTCACATGTTGCTCGTTCAGCCGCTCTCTCTCTGTCAAATGTCGGTTTTCTGGACTTCTGGACTCCGTCGTCCCCACGGCATTGAGGTCTTGGACTGTGGTTCCCTCATGTGACGCCTACTACTGGGCTGACTTTAGTGACGAGCGGACCAAAGAAGAACCCGACACATTCTGGAGTGGATCCAGATCACGCGGCGGGTACCTGAACTATTGTTCTCTCGTTATGGTTCTTCTAGCTCCATCATGTTTTCTACATCCTGTTAACTGGCGCTCTTTGAACGACTTCTTCTTCTTCTGTGGTGGTTTGACGACACCTGACTGGAGCCGTTTAGCTCCTAATAGTCACATGACAGCAGTGGATGGAAACGTTCCATCTTCTGCAGATGTTCTGAACGTAAACAAACAGTTTGAACCTTTTATGACATGAACGCAGCACGAACAGAACCTCTTAGTATCAGACAATAATAAAAGAGATGTACACTGTAGACGTAGAAACGTGATGACCAGCCACGTCTGTCACTTATATCATGACTAAAGACCCCTATGATACATAGAACACGTTAATAAACTAATCAAAAGAACATGGACATAGAATCTAAACCCCAGACTGTGTAGAGTGAAACATATCAAACCGATTATGAGTGATAAGAACAGTTAAACTGTAAATCTGAATATCCTGCAGCCTGTCTCTACAGAGAGGATACATGGTAGTATCAAAGTGCTGTTTGCTTGACTGTAATTTCCTCCTCACCCCCCCCCACAACCCCAACCACTTCCTGTGTTTCCTCGTACGTCACACGGCTGAACTTGTTCCCATGTTTCGGTCTCTTTACCTCAAGCCCTCCGATCTGGTGCTACACTTTTTGCTATATATGTTTTTTTGCAACTACGGTAATAATGAATATCCTCAGATGTTATGGATTATTATGATCTATATTGTGCAGAAAGTAAAAACAGAAAGTAGAGTGACACAGCTTCTTTGTAAAAACAAGACTATTCCTCAAACTGCCCCCCGTGTGAGACGTAGGAGAGGACAGACGCCGTGTTAAGAGTCCGTGTTGACTGATCAGAGTCTTTATGTGACGGCGGCTCACAGGCGTTAGTGTTAGTCGGAGCGCAGGCGGCGATGGAAGGACGCTCAGGCATTTCTCTTTTTTAACTTTGTTGTTAAGGTTTCGTATTTGGTCCAGCTCCAGTCTTGGTCCTTGAAAGAGGAAAACCACCAGATTAACAGAACAATATCTCTAAATATCATCATAAACTAAAACAAATCATTTGTTATGTGCATGAATTGCTGCTTTTCCCCTTTTAGTGCGATTTTTAATAAAATATATATATATATATATATATATATATATATATAAAATTGAAAGAATTTTTTTCATCAAGAACTAGTTATTTGGTGCTCCGTTACACCACTGAACTAATATTTAATAACCATTTTGAAAACGTCTTCCTGCTTCTTGTCTGGTGATCTTAACTTTATCATTAATGCTAATTTATAAAATGTGTATTTAAACGTCTATCATCACAAACAAAACGTTACAAAACCTGAAACAATGTGCAAAACATTATGAAAACGTAACTTTCCCCTCACTGATACGACTTTATTTACACTTTAACCGCGCAGAAACTGAACAAATCATTTCAAACTTCAGTGTTTCTGCCTTCAGGTAATTGAGTCGCGGTGTGGAGACGTTCAGATTGAAAGTTGGACGAGCGATGGTTGGATGTAAATGTAACGGCGCTGCATTAAAAAACTCCAGGATCACAACACAAGGGAACTCACCACGATGCTCTTGGCCTGTTCGTCAGTCGCTTCCTGCATCAGGCTGGTCAGCTGACTGAGGTACTTCTCGTTCTCCTGCAGCAGACGTGGTGCAGCGTCACTGAAACACATACACACACACACACACACACACACACACACACACACACACTAGTCACCACTGCATCACATGAGACCTCCATCACATGTACAATGGTCTCAGTATTTCACCGGCTACAGCACAAGACACACTGACCTACAAAACCCTGCACAGCAGCGTGAACACATCGTAACGACGGACACGCCTCTATTGAAATATTCACAACACATTGAGTATTTAAGCACGTGGCTTTTTACGTGTTTTACGAACAACAAAACTAAACAAATGAAGGTGAATGGATGTGATCAGGACTTCTTTTAGAACACCGATCAGCAGAAACATCTGTGCATCTAAATTAAAGTACAAATCAAGTATAATAGAGGAGAGGAGGTCACGTGATCCACCAGCGTTTAGCAGAGACATATTTCCCTCAGGACTTGGTGGAGACCAAACACAGAGCTAAAAGGAGATTCAATATTAGGGTTAGAAACAGGAATCTAAGGGAAAGCTCGCTTATTCCTCTGAACCCCAAACTAAAACAGTAAAAAATGTAAAGTTCAATATCTACAGCAGTCGGAGCCTCCTTTCTTTCCCCCAACCTTGTTCACACTTGTGGCAACTTGTTGCATAAATAGATTCCATCATTTGTAAAATAAACAATCAAAGAAATTCTTGTCTTTTTTGTGATTTATGGCATTGAAACTCTTCTTCTAGCCATGGTTGTGATGTTTCCATAGAGGTGCAGGATTTATATACTGCAGTAAATATCAAGGCTACAGAGAGGAGCAAAAAACGCACCGACACTTCTTGAGGTTCAGAGGGTTGAGAGATAAAATGTCAGTGTTGGGTGTTTACAGCTGGTTTCTGCTGCCCCCAAGTGGACAAAGGTCGGTATTACTGACTGAAGGTATGGACTTGAAAGCGGGTGAACATTTACACAATCAACTATTTTGTGTTCTCTGCTTATACCGATATTAGATCAGTTTGTTTTCACACAGTTCAACATGAAAAAGGTCAAAGGGGTTCACGAGTCACATGATTCATCTGGATGGGTTACCTGTCATTGGGCCCAGGTAGGGAGGTGAGGGGATGTGGGGAGCTGACTGGCTGAGCCGACTGGGACCACTGAGACACCTGCAGCAGGTTGGACGACTCGGGACTCGCTGCTATCGAGTTTCGGGTCAAGTTTTGAGCCTAGAGGAGACGG